GTTTTAACTGACATGTTGCTGCATCGGATATATTTTTGTGTCATGTGTTTAGAGGAGTTTGGTCTCAAAACTATTAAAAATAATGTCAACTTCATGTTGCATTAAAAAACATGCAAGTCTTAATTTTAAAATATTAATAATCAGATTCAGAAGGTGTGCAGCACTTGATTAGTGACAATAGTCATTTAAGAACGAATCCCTCGATACATGACAAAGCTAAAGATTTCTAATAATTGCTACTTACAAATTATGTCTGGGTAAAGTTGACATAAGTAAAAAGATACAAAAAAGAAAAAAAAATATTCAAATTAGTTTCAACTTCTACATGAAAAGTAGTTAAACAAGCTTTTTACCTGTGTTTTGACTTTTTGTGACAAACAGGACATTCAAATTTTGGCTCGACACCTAATGTGAATGAAAAAAAGGAATGTTTTAATTCAAGAAATGAATAGATAATAAAATTTTAAGTAAAGAATCATGTTGGGATGACGAAAGCTTACCACACTCAAATCGAATGTGTCTATTAAGGCTATGAGGTCTTGCATATGTGTTTCCGCATCGCGAGCATGAATATGGTGCTCCGCCTAATGATGGCTGAATTGGTGTAAGTGATAAGGGCGATAATTGATTAGTTGCAGTACTACTTGCTGATGATGATCTTAATTTTTCGCGTTCATTATGATCACGATTTGCATTGACAGACGATCTAGGCAGTAATCCTAGACCTTTGATAAATGGTAACTGTGGCGAATTCGGAACCTGTCCAATTTGCGCAGTCGATTGTGCTGAATTATTTGACGAAGCTGACAGATTTTGAGCCGTAACAGCTGACAACGCAGCATTTCGGAGTTCAATTAGGCACGTTGCTGGTGTAAAAAGTCGTAAGTCACATGGCTGCTCATCCGATGGAGACATTTGCCCAAGTTTTGTCTTTAAGCCTGAAAGGAAATCTAAAATGAGATAAAGATTTTTAATTAATTATGTTTAAGGTTCTTAAAGTATGAAACAACAATTCAACATTTAAAAAAACAGGAGGAGTTTTTGTAAGTAATGAAAAACGTGGAAATAATATTAAGCGTTTCTTGTGCCGTTTTTTTAGACCATGATATATAAAGATGAGACATGAAGGCAATTACTTTTTTTTCATTTTTTTTTTGTTTCCAAAGTTCTTGTTATGCTGGATGAGAAGAAAGAATGACGAATAAATTTAATAATGATTAATTTTTATGATAAATAAAGCAATTTTCATGATTCTCCAATTCTAGGACACAAAAGTTTATGTTCCATGAATAATGAAAAATGCTTTCCTTATCGGTTGATTTAATAGAATATTTTAGCCATCACCAAGAATACTACTACTTAATAAATAGAATATAAAACAAGAACTAAAAATAAACTGCCATCATCACATAAAAATTGTATGCGACAATGAACTTTATGTTAATTTTTAATGATAATCATTTAATTAAATATGTTTATGCATATGTAAAGAATCTGTTTATATTGACTCATTTGAAGTCACTTAAGACCTCAAATTGTCAGCTTTAGAAAATAATTGAAACTACAAAAGAAAGGAAACTATTTATTTAACTACGGAACAAAGTTATCTTAACTATTTTTTTTTTTTGGTTTTGTAAAAATGCAGCACTAAAAAATAAAGCAATCAAATTTCTAAGATACGATCATAATATAATGGATGTTGGGTGAATTGTGCTGAAGGAAATTGTTGATGTCTATTAGGATTGTCTTTGGATTTAGAATTTAAATTCAGAAATCATTTCAAAATTAAATCTAATAATTAAAGATTATTGATCCAAATTTTTAATCCATAGCTAATTCCAAAACAATCAAATTCAGCATCAATGGACCCAAAATTTATGTTTTTCACTTATAAATACTCATATATATATAAATATCAAATTTTGAATCTATAATACACTACAAAAAAATCATCAAAATATTTCTTTTTATCATCATAACATTGCTGATTATAAAACTAATTCATTCACAGAAAAAAATTTAAACTATTCAAAAAAATTAAAATAATAAAACCATAATAATAATAATAAAATAAATAAAAAAAATATTAAAATGTTGAATGCAGAATACTTTATATGTCAAAGAACGACCGATCCAGCTTCCCATTTTTGCAATATACATTCCATACCAGTATTCATTTGATTTTTCTACTTTATACACACTACTTTTATATTCTTACATAATTTGAGGGGGGGATAGGTTTTTGGCATTTTACCTAAAATATAAAATAAGAACTTATTAGTATTGAGAAATTGAACTCTCATTAAAATTTTGTGAATGTTAATTATTAAGGTATTAGTATTGTGCATTGATTAGTAAATTGTTAATTGCTGCGTATTTTGTTTTTCCTTTCAAATTCATGTTTTATTATCATCATAATTTAAATAGGAATGAAACCCTTAAAGCATATCAGAAGAAATTACACATTTAATTAATTAAACTCTAATCTACTTTGTGTAATCCATAAATTAGTATTCATTTTCTGGTTGAGTAATAAATAAGCTTATGGATGTCTTTTTCATGCAAATCAAATCGATTGCTTAATTTCAAAAATACAATTGTGTTTGTGTTGTGTGTCAAAAAATGGCATCGATTTTCACTTCTTTTTCTTCTTTAATTAAATTAAACTGATTTTTTTTATCTCATCACAAATTGGAAACTCCCAACACCACAAAAATGTCTTAATTATTTACATTGTTAATATTATTATTATTATTTGTTCATAAAAAAAGTCACTTGATCTATACAAGAAAATAAATTAAGTTGAAAAATAAATAGTTACGGTTAATTAAGAATTGATTTTTTTTACAATTATTAAGTACATCATCATTTAAACTACTTCTTCCATTTCATTATTATTATTATTTTTTTGGTTAGATGATCAAAAAGGACTAGCATTTGTTGTTATGGAATGAAACTTTTAAGGGAGACATTCATTTATGACGTCTGATTTTTAAGAAATGAAATTGATTGTTGGGATAAAGGAAGTGTCACTGATCTTTAGAGACTGATCTTAAATTTAGAGCAAGATGTAGCTAAATTGATTTTATGACTCAAATTTCCAACAGACGTCATAAAAAACTACCCCAATATTAGATTATATTTTTCTTGTTAGTAATTCCAAAAAAAAAAATCATTTAAATCAATTTAGATGTTTTCATCATTGGCTTGAACACCAAGCAAACATTCATCACTTGTATGCAAATCTGCTGGAGATGATGGCTTGCAAAATTTGGAATTTAAATGACGTTTAAGATTGGAATGAATGTGTGTTTTATAGCCGCAGTTTCGTTCGCAATGATACTTTGGTGGTACGCCTGTATTTAAGAATAAATAGAAAATGTAAGTCTGGGTAAAGAGAGAATATGAAAAGATTTTTTTAATCCTACCGCATTCCTACATATGAGACATGAAAAGAAGCAGAAACAGAAAATAGAGATAAATTAATGGATATTGTAATTAAGCAAGAGATTAAGGCAAATACATACATTTTTAATGTGCTGTTTGAGACTATTTCTCCATTTATAATTGCGTCCGCATGTTTTACAATACCATGGTTTGTCTTCATTGTCCTGATAAATTATATTCTCTTGCTTAAGGCTTTCAAGAAGTTCTTTTGTTGGCACAATTTTAGAGCTATTTCCAGTCGAATGTCTACGAGTATTTACTACATTTTGAGATATTTTCTTAATTATTAATTTACTGTCGGGAGATGTCGATAAAGTTTGTAGATTAATTTTTGTTGGGCTACGGATTTGAGTTAATTGTGGGAGATTTGTAGGCTTAGGTTGTATAGGAATGATTTTTTTCACAGCAACAGCTATGAGTTTTGGTTTTGTTTTATGAATTTGAGTCAGTGGAGGCAGTTGCATTACATGCTGAGTTAAAACAGGCGGTTTAGGTTGGATTTGTTGCAATTTACGTCGAAACGGAGCTCTAGTGTTCTCCTTTGTCGGATACATAGTAATTTTAGCTGTCGACTTTGCAGTATGCCACACGGGGATATCATGGACTTCATAATCTTCATCATATTTCTCTTGTTTTATCTCAGTGAGTGGAGGCAATTCTACATCATCATCAATGCCATTGTTTCCTGTCGAGATTGAACTATGTACTGAAGTATAATCGATCCATGAATCCTGTGGTGGCTGCTGTTGTGGCGTTTTAGCTTCCGGTAAAGTCGGTAAAGCAATTTTAAAGTTATGTTGTGAATATTCACTGTTATTTTCAGGGAAATAAAAGTATTTGTCTAAATTAATTGTCGTGTTAGTATCGCTTGCACCATCACCTACGAAAAGAATTAAAAGGTTTTGTATACATTGATTAATTTTGTTAGTGACAAAATTTACTCTAAAATCAAACGAATTAATTTTTTTTCTTTTTCTTTAGCTAAGTTAATAAAAAAATTATGAAGGAAATAAAAACATCATCAAAATCAATAAAATTAGCAACAGCAAAAAATTAAAGTAAAAATAAATTAAGGAAACAAAAATGATAAGAACTATTATTATTATTATTATTGAGGAAGACTTGCGAAAAATAGATAATATATTATATGACGAGGGTATAGCATTAGTCGGTTATTTTGTGATTATTTTCTTTATTTCTAAACGATTAATATTATTGTTTTTGGTTAGTGCCATTAATTTTGGATTTTTATTAATTAAAATAATTTATTAGTTCCTCTATTTATCTATCTTGTACTTCACTATGAGAATAAACTTCTCGAGACAATGTCGTCGGTGATGACATTTTCTTCAGTGCCTAAAAGTAAAAGAAAAGAGTTTCAATTAGTATGGTGAAGATAACATGAGTCTTAGGTACAAACGTCGCGTAATAAACCTGTGAAGAAGAAATAAAAGAAGATTTAATGACAGGAGCGACTTGACTAAATCAAATTATCTCATATCAGTCGAATAGATAGTTCAACTTCGTTAAATCGCTCCAAATAATGTTTTTATGATTTCTTTACAAATGAACGATTTAATTTAAAATTATTACAAAATAACAAAATTTTTACTTTATTGATTATTTTTTTTGTAATATAAAAGATTTCTTGAAATATCATGTTTGTTGTTGCTTTATCTCATTTCAACCTAGACACAATCAGTTACTAATTTTAACAGTTTTACATGAATAAGGAATTTTACAGTTTTTTTGAATGTATATCTCTATACTATCCATTAATCTAGCTCAAAATGTCTTTTTTCAAGTTTTTTTTTATTTATTTGTATTTTTTTTGTTTTATAAATGAAGGAAAAAATGCTTAATTAATAATTAGAAAGTATGAGTATTTTTCAAGTAGTTGTAAACTAATGTGCAATGTTTTGCGCTGTTGATTCCATGGTTTTTTTTTTAAATTATTTGATCCCTTAATCCAATTACAAGGTTTATATCTTTTTTTTTTTCAAAGTCATCAGTAAAATATCAACATGAAAGGACTTTCCCATCACCCACATGGATTGTAATCAACCAAAATCTTAATTTCTATTGCTTTAATGGAAACTTCATTTTTTTTCTTGCTGTTAATTTAAATGAAAAAGACAGGATTTTCTTCTTTCTTTCATTGTCTTTTTAATTAATTAAATCTACTTATAGTTTAAAAATAAACAAGAGATGTTTCACATGATTGAAGGAATTTTTTTTTTGGGGTTGATTCTATTGAATAGTTGGGGAATTGTTTGAAATTTAAGAGAATTTTTATTTTGAATTAATCAACTCTAATTAAAGGTTTAGTTGCTGATAATTAAAGTTTCAAGATAGAAATGACTCGTATAGAAGTTATCGAATTAACTTAAAATTCAAGACTTAATCACAAGATTTATTTAAATCTAAGACTTAACTTCAAGATTTAAGAAATTTTTGTGCAATTTTTTGGAAACTTATCCTGCATAAGGATATTTTGTTAAGTTTTTATGGATCTATTATAAGTTATGGTTAGTTTAGTGCAGTTTTTCTTCAAAAATAAAGAAATCTTGAGTTTATTTTAAAACTTTATCCTTGAATTTAAAGATTAAACACAATCCTTCATATCAACAAGAATCAACCCTAAATAGGTATTTCAGATGGAAAGAAATCGAGTATTATTTTTTAAAATTAGAATGTAACAAAGTGCAAAAATTTGTACTTTTATGCCAAAACTTTTTCAAATTTTCTTGTAGAATGTGAACAAAATTTGGAGCATATGTGGAATGTTTTAACTTTTTGGAAGACGAGAAAAGAGACAAAAAAATAATATTCATGTGAAACTTAATAATTTTTTTCTATACACAATATTTAATAAAAAAAACTAAAGGCACAATATGTTTTTTTTTGTAATTTGTCTTTTAAATGAAATGATTTAATCGTGAAATTGAGGTATTTGTTGATAAATTTTTTAAAAATAAGAAAAGGTGTTTCAAATCAGTTTTCAATTCATTTTTCAATGCGGTAACAATTTCTCTTAAAAAGCTTTTTTTACTCTAACTGCGAAAATGCATTCAATTCACTGAGAAATCAATGTGTTATTATTATTATTATTATTATTATTATTTTATTTATCTATCATAAGGAAAAGCCATTTTAAGTGTTCTTTTCTTAATACTCATTCGTGTGAGCGCTGAGGATAGATTTGAAAAAAAAATTGCAGGAAATTCATCTCGTTTCTTTTCTGTCGCTTAAATCGTGTGTGAATCTGTTTTTTATGTGATTTCAGATGAGGTAGCTTCTATCATTTCTTAAACATAAAATCTTCAAAAAAAATTTCTTTAGTAAAATGCTTTATGCTTTTTAAAAAAATTTATCCTTTCGTCCTTTGTCTTTTTTGTTTGTTGTTAAAAAATGTCTTTTATCTGTTTCAATCACTTTTGACTATTTTTATGTTAATAGTTTTCATAATTAATTTTTTGTATGTGTTAGATATTATTCGTCAACAAAAAATACTTAGTTCCTAATTACGTTCATCGTTTTACTTCTATTTTGCCATACGCATAATGAGTAAATTTAATATATATGTAAAAAATATAAAAATTATTAAAAAATATGATTCTTTAAAAGATTTTTGAAATGTAAATCTGGAATGATTCTTCATTTTCTTTTTCTTTCGTTATTTTCAAAAAATATAAAAAAAAACATAAAGTAAATTTAAAAAACAAACAAACATTTCTTCCATCCTTTCAAATTTATAATGTGGAAGTATATGACACCTTTGCCGATTTGGCTTCATTTTTTCATTAATAATATTATATTTATAATCAAAACGATATATAATTTATTCTGTGAATCAGATCCACTAAAATGGGGGTGGCTTTCATTAATTCTTGAGGTTTTAATCCTAAGATTCAATTGATTAGTCTTACGATTTAAACTTTAATTTAAATCCAGCCCTTATTCATGGATTAAGATTTTTAAATCCAAATTTAATCTTAAAATCTTCTAGAGCTTTCGAACCCAAAGCGAAAATAAGGCTAGCATGAGCAACCATTCAAGACCAATCAAAAGTTTAACTCCCCAATCCGTAAAGAGAACCCCAATTTAATGACCTCAACTCGTAAAATTTCGAAAATTACAAAACAAAATTTTTTGATTCATTTCAATGGAAAGATGAAAGCTTCTTTTCATATTCATATAATGTCTGTTATATATTTATAGTTGGAAAATGCTAACTCTTGACGCACAGTTAAATAAATAAAATGATTTTCTATAGGATTTACAATAGAAGGAAGAAAATATAAAAAAAATTAAATTGAAAAGAAATGCTTATTTTCACACACATATCAGGGATAAAGATATTATTTTTTTCATTTCGTTAGAGCTTTTTATCACATTTTTTTCTTTCATAATTAGCTTTTCAATCAGGAATTTGAGTTGTCATAAAATTAAAAAAATTCGATATAACATTTTTCTTTCTTTCTTTCTCTGTATTCTTTCCTAAATAGTTGCATTAAAGTCATTACATCCAGATGCTTGAACAATCTGATTTAGTGCTTCCTCTAATGCAATAATTTTACCATCACCGCTAACTTTAAAGAATTTCTCTTTATGCATTCGTTCCATATGACGACCGATATGCATTTTCTGTTTAGCTCTATAGACACAATATGGACATTGAAATTGGGGTTCTTTACCGCATTCCCACTTTTGATGATTTCTCAATGAGGATTTTAATTTATACATACGACCACAATCGGGGCAAGCGAATCCACCTTCTTGCTGAGCATTTGATCCATTTCCACTATTGTTTGATGAGTTATTTGCATTAGCACCGTTACTGGATGTATCACTTGGTGAACATACAACATCAGGACGAGCCGGTTCCGTTTTCATTGTGCTCACACATAGGTCACGTGGGAACACTAAAGGATGGGCACCTTCACGTAATGTCGTAACTAATGGCATTGCTAATCTTTCGTTCCATTGCTCCCATGTAAGACCGGCAATTTTTGTGATACATAAACCTCCCTCGGCTGCTGGAATAAATTTATTTTTTCGATTCGTCGTTTGTGTTTGGGGAGTGGATAACATAAATGAAAATAAAAGAAAAAATAAACAAAATCATAAGTAACATAATTCAAATTAAATCATAAGTTTTGATAATATCTTAAATGTAGCAAACGAATAAGGATTAATAATAAGTTCACTTTTTTGTACAAGCAAATCTGTTTTGACTTTCATTTTTTTTTTGGATTTATCAAGCAATCATCACCACAATGCACCTCTGAATTTTCGGAAGTGAAAATTGAGATTTTAAGACTACTAATGAATTTTTCAATCTCAATTTTCATTTCCTTTTCTGGCCGATTTCACTGACATTTGTAGGACCATCACATTTTCTAAGTCTATTGTCTAGTTCTATTGAACATAAAATTCTAAAGTTACATGTCTTAAGTGAGATCGGCTTTTTAAACAGGTTTGCTGTTTGTTATTTTAGTAAGGGATGCATCTAGTCGGTATCACTTGACGGATTTTCATACAATTTTGAAATATATAACTAAATCTACTAGATACACCCCTAATTGTTGTTAGTAATTTGAACTTAATATAGGTATAAATAATAGTAATAAAATAATAAAAAAGAATAATGAATAGAAATTGCAAGACCATTGGCATTCTTACAAGTTTCTCGTTAAAATAGAAGTTTTTACTACAATATTTACAAATAAAAAATCAAACACAAAATAAAAGAAATAAAGAGTTTGCAATTGTTATTTATTTTTTTTTTTGTTTTCAGCAGCAAATAGTAATTTAGATATTTCACTGGATTGTTTTTAGTGTAACACGATTGGTTTTTCGTCATTTTATTATTAAAACGATGATGAGTAAAGCTAACATGTTTTTTTTGTTCTTGGTATAACTTTGTAATTTTACAAATTTTCTTTCACTTTTTCTCTTTCATTCTCTCACGCTATCGCATCGAAAATATAACTTATTTTTTTAAAAAATATAACCCCACATACCTGTACCAATATTTGAACTTTTTTTATATACCATAAATGACTATGAACCCAAAAAAGGGGGAATTATGGAAATTAATATTTGGAATTATCGTACATAACGATACAAAAGAATTTTTATGAAAAATATAAGTATCTAAATATATATATTCCTATTATTATTAATTAATTTAGGCACTCTTGATGCATCTCATGTCTCAATACTCTTTGAGGATATTGACATAAGTGCATATAACATTTAAAATGCAATACTAAACATGATTGCATTACTAAGGTACAGGGAGTATCTAGCAAGGGGTTAACTCTCGTCCCAAGCTGATTGCAAAGGATTCTAGGATAATTCCTAGTATCTGAACTAGACAGCTACACACAACAAAAATCTTGAACACAACCCCCCACAAAAAAAAAATCTAGACACCCCCTGTGCTAAGGTATATAAAGTATCTTTGTCCTAAATACATTTACCAGATATGACACTCATAAACACTATTTTTTGCACATATTATTCATATAGATATCGTCACTAAACATTTTACATCACATGGTTGATGTCAACATAAAATTTTCTTCTGCTCCATCTTCTCTTGTATGTATAATTCTACTCACAGATATCAATTATCATTATTAGGTAAACTTTTCTTTTCTAAATGTAGATGGAAATGTTTGACATTTGTACGACTAATTTGACTTATGACCCTAGGCTCAATTCAACTTGTTTTCTTTTTACTTTTTGTTTGCAGCTGTTGCTGTGGTTATTATTTTTTCTATTATTAAAGTTAAAGTTTAAGACTTGCCAAATTGTATGGAAACTTCAATCACTTTTGAAAGACGTTATATTAGTTTTGTTGGAATCATTATTATCGATCGAATTTAAATTTAAAATGTTATTAGCAGATGGAGAGATTAATGAATGTGTTTGAGTGAAAGAGGGATGTATTATTAGTTCTCTATTATTGTTGTTGCTGCTGCTAACAGCCGTAATTGAAACACCATCTGATCCATGATAATCGATAGGCTGTTTCTTCTTTTGACTCTGTAATAAGAAATGGATTGTAAGATATTAGTATAATTAATATCCTTTTCGCACTCAATCATTTACATTGCAAATTTCCATTTGATGACGAATTTTTTGATGGGAAGTCAAGTTATGTCGATATTTTGTCTTGAATTCACATTTATCGCAATGAAATTGAGGAGCAACTCCACATTCCTGAATGGTACACAACAACAAAGAGAATTTTTTTTATATATCAATAGTCACACGAAATATTGTCATTTTAAGGCTTCAAAATCTACCTTCTTCTCGTGCCTTCTCCAACTATATTTTGTCTTGTAAAATTTACCACACTTTCTACATTTGTAGAAATTTGTTTTGGCTTTCTCATCAAGAGATGGATATGAATATGAAAGGGATGATTGACGTGTTGCTGATCCCTGTTGTTGATGTTGTTGGTGCTGCTGCTGTTGTTGCTGCATTAATTGAAGCATCATTAAGCGTGTTAATTGCTCTGAAAGACAAACAAAAGAACAAATTAATATGCGGAAATCGGACATATAATTTTTTTTTCATAAGTCTTAAATTAATTACAGAGAGAATAATCATAAAATTTTCATGAAAAAAGCATTTGAAATGATAAAGTAAAATTATTAGAAGTTGCTATTAAAAGCAAATGAAACCATATGGATGTGAAATTAATGTTATAACATAAAACACTCTGTTGAAGGTATATATGTGATTATGTGCTATTATTATAGGATAGAGATTATGAATTGTAAAAATTTGAGTAAAATCAATCATTATTGTATTTCAACTATTATTTTTTGATTCAACATTGTTGTTAATTATTTTTTTTTTAAATTTTCAGTGCATAGCTTTTTTCAGATTGTTTTTTGAAAGCTTCAATTCAGGAAGTGTATAAATTTTGATATTTATCACTATGCTTTTGATTATGAAGCAAACTATTTCAAGCATTCATATTGGCTTACTGTTATTTATCATATCTATGAGAAAGAAAAAGGAAAGAAACATGATTAATGCATTAAAAACTTGGGAATTTAAATTTATAACAACTTACATATTTTTGCATCTATGATCTCCATCCATTTCCATCATTATTCCCGATGAGGAGCTAAAATGAATAAGAACTACATTAATATAATGTCACAATGTGCCTTAACTTCTAAGTTTCTTTATAAAATAAGGACCATGAACTCAAAAATTTATTTTTTTTATCAATTTATTCAAATTCTATTTTTAATTTTTCTCCATAATATCTTAAGATTTTTTGTAGATTTTTTCATTTTTTTCTCTCGTTCATTATAAAACTAAACATGAAATCTTATTTATACTCTAAGTCTATAATGCTATTTAAATGAAAATTTCAATAAAGATGTTTAAAATTATTAATGTAAATTTTTTAAATGAATTTTGAATAAAGTTTCAATTAATGACAAACAATTTTTTTTACTTTGGCCGAAGCTTAAATTACTTAGATGAAAAGAAGACATGACCACATAATAGGTGAGCATGCAAAATGAAAATAAATTTCATTCTTGTTTTTTTTTTTTATAAACCAATGAAAATTTGGTTTTCTGTTATTAATCATCATCTTTTTAATCTCTAAATTTTCTTTCATAAAGTATTTATATCTTCAAGTTCTCATCATCATCATCATCTACATAAAACGAGAATGAAAAGTGTAAGAAACTAAATAATTAATACAATATCGTATATGAAATTATAATCCTACAAATGCAAATGTTTTGTTTCTTAAGCTTTTTTTTTTCATCATTTTGTAATTTCCTGATACATTTTTTTCTTATCTCTTTTACGTACTTATTTCTTTTCTCAATTAGACGCTGTTGCTTTAAAATATTATTTTTTTCTTTTAAAAAATTTGTAAGAAGACACATAAATTGTTAAAAATTAAAGAAGAAATTATCAATTAAACACACTCAAAAAGAGAAAAAGAATAAAAAAAACTTTGATTATACTTATGAAAAAAATTATCATTAAATGTTATTTGTATGAAAAAAGAGCGTTTTTAAATTTTTGGCTTTAAAATAACGAAAAGAAAAAATCGTCGGGGTGGTGGTTTTTGGAAGAGAAATTTCAAAGCACAAAAATTTCCTTCTTAACGTGAGTCATGAAGTGACTTCTTCGATCGCCTGGTTTCTAATGGTGGCTTATCCAAATGATGCTTGCGTATATGAACGCCTAAGTTTCCGCGTTGTTTTGCTTTGTAGTTGCAATATGGACACTGATGACTTGCTTCCTTTCCGCCCTGTGTGACCAAAATAATTTTCATTCATTAGAAATTTAACTTTAGAATGTCTAGTTCAAGCTACCAGGTTAATCCCCAGATTTAATAATTATAGGATTGAGATTTATAAGCTTTTAATTTAACGATTTAAGAGTTAAATCGGACTAATTATAATTTAAAATGTTTGAAACTTAAAATAAGCATAAAAACTCACACATTCGACATTCTCATGACGACGAAGAGTGGATTTCCATCGATATCGTTTACCACAATGTCTACATTCATATTGACGTCCTGCTTCTTCTCCATCACTTGCCATCGAATTGTCACTTGCAGTTGCATAATATTTCTTAATTTTTATACTTCCAGATGCATCGCCATTTTCCGTATCCTCTGATTTATATGTATCACTAAAGTGAATTTGAACATCTTCAGGCAATTCTATGTCATCAATACCGTACTCTAAATCGTCAATAATCTCATTGGGAAAGTCATTGCTTTGATTGCTTGTATTTGCTGCGGCTGAAACTTCATATTCTGTTATCTGCTGATTTCCACTAGACGGAACAGCTTGTATAACAAATTGTTGAGTGCTTGAAGCTGGTATAATAATTGGCTTCGAAACTGGCTCCGCTGGTTTGACTGTTGTCACACTAATATATTCTATTTTCTTTCCATCCGATAAAACTTGAGTGCGAACGGGGTGAACAAGAGACTGAGTTGCTGGCTGTTGCTGAATAATTGGTTGTGATTGAGTTTGATTGTATTGTGTTGACGATTGAATGATTATTGGATTCTTATGACGAGAGTATTTAATTCGTGGATGATTAGGCTTGACAATTTTCTTCTCAGATTCTATTGGTGCTGCGGGAGCAATCGTCGCTATAGTTTGTTGTTGTAATTGTTGAGATGATTCTGGCACTTTTTGAACAATTGATACATTTGCAGACTTTTCAATCTTTGATGTCACTTTAATTTGTGGACGTTTCACAGGAACCAATTCTAAATATGATTATAATCATAAAATGAAAGAAATGTTAATGACTAAAATCAAAATATACATGCACAACATATGAATTATAGATTATGATTCATGACGCAAACAATGTTTTAGACTAGAAATAATTGGCAAACATATTTCTTTCAATAATAAGCACAATGATATAAGTTAAATAAAATTGGGTTAATATAAATCAAGGCAATTTTAAACAAAATGCAACGCAAATATCTACTACTCTCCAAAAAAAAACGTAAAAATACTCATAAAATTTTGACTTCTTTTTTTCTAATAACTTTTAACTGATACAAAAGAAAATAATTTAAAGATGGACATTTTTTCATCTTGTTCCAATAATATAGAAAAGACAAAAAAGAAATAACATATAAGGAAAAAGTGAATTTGATGAGACACACAAAAACAAGAGCTTTTTTTATGTGCAGTCATCGTCAATTTTCAACTATGTGTGTTGGTGTCGATTTTTTTTATTATTGACTTTAAACATGAACTTTTTTTGTGTGTGATAATGAATATGAATGGTTTTTTTTATCTGTTTTTAGGTATTTATCTTTACCGCATTCTTTCAAAACGATCTTCTCTGTTGGCTGTTTTTTCACTGGCAGCAAAAGGTACTTGTTGTTTTCGGATTTTGTGATTTGGAAGTTTTCACTTTCAAGTAAGCAATCATTCATGTCATGTGTTTGCTGTTGATCCTTTGATTGATCCTTTAACTTGAATCGATATGCTTGTGATTTGTTGCCTGCAAGGGTTAAAAAATAATAAGTCAATAAAATTAATTTCGTTTAATCTAACGCATACTTCACTTAATAATCTAATAGTAATTTGTAATTTTAAAGAATAGTAAATATGTATAAATGTATATTTCTCAAAATAATAGGAAAGAAAGAGCTTTTTGGATAGCATAATGATTAGTACAATAAATAATGAGAAGGAAAAATATAATAGATACGTGTAGTAAATAAAGGATTAATATTTACACCAAAAAGTTTAATTCCAATTTTTAAGAAAAATAAATAAATAAATTATTCACATATTAATACCTATTAATCTTTTCATATTTCTATCGTTTTTCATTTAAAATTAAGCCTAAAGTAATCAATTTCGCACAGCGAAATCCCAAGCAACGCATATTGTCAATTTTATTTTGAAAATAGTATGCATACATATTATAAGTTAAGCTATGTATTATTATATAAAAGAAGATATTGTACGATCAACTTTGAAGAGTTTTCGTGCTAATCTGTGAGACTCGTACTTAACTAGTGCTTTAAAGTTTGATCAGTTTTCATTAATTGAGTAAAAAATAACGGCATTAAATCAAGAACATGCCGAATTTCAAGGTCAATTCTGCTTTTTTTGATAGAATCTCGACATACCAAGATACAGTTAAACATATACCTAGTTGCAGAACCGAACAACCTTAAACTGCACCTTGCATACAAAAAACAGTTTCAAATACTCGTCAAAATTGTTCGCACGATGAATCTTAGTTCCGTTTTTTAATCACACTTGATTTCAAATGTTTCATCATTCCATTCTACATATTTAATATCCATGAATTAATGACTTGTGATCTTTATAAAACAGCATCTGTTCTTGATATGTTGATTTCGACATTTCACAATTTTTGCTCGTTGCGTCAAACACAATCCAGAGAGTGTGAATCTGTAATGTGAAAAAAGATTAATTAGAATGAATATTTTTAAAGAATAGACATGACATTTCGAAAATATCAATATAAATTAACCTTTCTTGGATATCACAATTCACGCTTAATTCTGCAAGGGAAGAGCTTGTAAAAAATTCATGTATTTTTATGAAAATTTTCTTTCAATTATTTTGTTCCTTTTATTTGTGTGATAACGAAAATAATCATTTTTTGATAACATTTTAATTTCATTTTTTTTTTGTATGTTTCGTGATTACTTTTTTATCAACATTTTCCTAACATGACTTTATATTATTTTTTGTTTCAAAGACTAGTCTAATTCATTTCTTTTTTGAGATTAATGACAGAGAAAGGAGAGAGAGAGAGAGAAAGAAAAAATAAAACTAAAATAGATTTAAGTAATTCTAGTATCCAACAAATGAACTCTGATTGCTTGAATGTTTTCGATTGATGTGAAATTTTAAGGATTCTTTTCTTGTATACGATTTCGCACAAAAATTACAATTAAATAATTTTTCTCTTCCACATTCCTGTTAATCAAAAAGTTAAACTTATGACAAAAAATCATTTAATTAAATTTAATATTTTTCATTACCAAATTTAAATGTCGCGTAAGTGATGAAAGTAATTTATATGTTCGTCCACATCCATTTATGCAAGGATAAACTTTCATTGAATTTGGTGAATTGTCTGATTCTAAATCATTAATACCGGTTTGATGCTGAATTTTCTGAATTTCATTTCTAACAAGAACACTTTTGGTCATTGCATGATTACCTTTAAATAAAATAAAAATCCAATATTCAATCATTTAAAAATGATGCAAAACATTTTTTTTGTGTTGTGTTTGTTTTGTTTTTTGTTTCCATTTCCTTTTTTTAATTCAGCCCGTTCTCTCAAAATTCTTCATCATCATGATAAATTATAATACTTTTAACTTTCTGTCATATTTCTTGTCTAAATTTCTCTTCTATTTTTTTTTATCATCAAATAAATATGCTTAATGCATGTAGTAAATATAACTTGAACTTCAACGTTCATAAATGAGATCAAATTGAGCTTTTTAAGGATTCATGAATAATTAAACAGAATTGCTTAGTAAGAGATTCAATCCTTTTCCTCTTTTTTGGAGGCTTCTTCCTTTGTTAAGGCATTTAATATTAATGAAACATTTCATTGAATGATTCCTTTTGGGTTTTGGCAATTTCTTTTAAGATTTCAATCAAAATTGCCGATAAGAACTTTTTTGTAGAGAATGGGTCTGATTCAGGATTTAAATGTGCTACAGGATACCAATTTACAAATTATTTGACAAAACTTTAGTTTAAAAATCTTTAAAATTTGAGAAAAATAAATACAAAAGAAATAAAATTTTAACTTAATCTTTCAGGGCTTAAAAGAAAAACCAAAATTAATCTGGATTGAAGCCTTAAGGATTAAATTTAAAATCAGACTGAGTCAAATTTCGAGACTAAACCAAAAGTTTTAATTTTAATCGTGCGATTAAAGAACTCGATTAACTTTAAATTTTGAGATTTTATTTTAATCGAGCACTTTTGATCCGCGAGTTATATTTCAATGTTCAAATAAGCACTTTATAGTTTGCAAAAAGCATTAAATTTAACCTTCAAAAACGAATTCTTTGAGACCTTTAAACCCAAACATTCTCACAAAAAGGAACATCAAATGACCAAAACAAATTGTTCTATCGCATGCAAGCTTTTTTGACCTCATTTATGAACCTTGAGGAAATTAAAGTTTTTATACATTTTTCTCCTTCATTCTCTTCATCATTCAATTTACAAATGATGATATTATTTTTTCTATAATTAAGATTCATTTTTTTTTTGTTTCTAATACACATTTTCATTCAGTTTCTAATTTCATTGTGATACAAAGAGAATAGCGGTAAATATATTTGAGAAGGAAAAAGAAACTAAAAAAGAGAAAACAAATAAAAATTTGTATCTAAAGTATATATTTGTTTTTTTTTTTGTTCTACTCTATTCATCATCATTCTATCATCATCGTCATCATCATCATTTAATCTAAATTCTCAATTTATTAAAATCACAATTGTATTAATTACTTTTTCCCTCGGAAAGCTTTGAGCTAATTCCATTTAATTTATAATATTTTGTTTTTAGTTTTTTTTTTTTCGTCTATATAAAATATTTTTTTTTTCCTGTTTTATTCCTCATTTTTTGTGTCTAACAAGAATCTATAGATTAATTATTTTTTTGTATTTTGTGTTTCTCATTTCAATAAAATTATTTCATTAAGGTTTTTTAACAACAAAGTCAACACAAATCAACATCTAATTGATTTGTGCTTTTAAGCGTTTCTCAAAAAAAGTATTTTGTGCATACGAGTGATTCTAGATGCCTTTTTAGATGGGATCCCTGTGAGAAACCTTTTCCGCACATAAGGCATCGAAAATTCTTTTTACCACCACACTCATATCTTATGGGTACAGAGAAATGATAAGTACATATAACAAATTATTTTTTGGCATTAAGTCATACAGACAATGAGGTATGTAGGTAGGTAGGTAGACACAATATTGATATGGAAATAAGAAATAGAAATAGAAAGAAAAGAAAGAAAGAAAAAGAGACAAAAGATTATATATAAAATATGATTAGCATAATAAGAGTCGTTCACAAATGACGTCTCCACCCCATCCCATTCCCAATAGACGTCTTTAGTGAGCGACCCCAAATCTTGACTCTGGATTAATGTTTGTTTTAAAAGCACATCTATTCTATTCTATTTTTGTTTTTGTATAAAATTCACCTTATGTGCCGTTGTAACGAGCTAGCATCTTTATAATGCTTTGAACAGTTTGATCGAGGGCACTCATATCTTCCATCAATATTAATAAATTTGGTAAGGTCAGAGAACTTTATATTGTGCCAAATGTCTTTATCATATGAGTAACCATCACAACACGAAAAAAAATCTGTAAAATATAAGATAGGAGAACAGAGAGAAAAACTTCACATTATGTGTGTGTATGTGAAATAGACTAGAAACAGCACAACATTCTAATATATTTTTTTTGGGCATAAATTTGTTTTGACAAAAAAAAAGACGTTAATATCTCTCTTTCTATTGAAGTGCAATTAATTAATTAATATTCATTTAAAATCGTATTTTGTAAGTTTTCGTTTAGAGAAAAAAAAACTAAAAAAATTGATATTTTGCAATTAAAAATGATCGCTAAAATATAACAAAATAAAAGATAAAAAAAACATAGCACATTACTACTCAGCATAAAGGATTTTTAATGATAGTAATGACGTTTAAATGAATGATGATGATGTTTATGGATGATGAAATGAGCAAAAAACAAAAAAAAAAGATTTTTTTTTGTTCCTTAAACAACATTTATAAAATACTAGTTACATTTTTGTTTTTAATTTGTATAATGCATACATTGTGTATTAAAGTGATTTTTTAAATTGATGCAATGCAGAAATATGTTGCATTAACGAATCACGTCGTTTACTCAAGTGATTGCAGTAAGGACATTTAAATGACATTCGATTTGGATTTTCGGAACACTAGAGAAAAGAACAAAATTAAGAAAAAGTATAAATAATCATCGCAATACAATTTTCTTTTTAAAATAATTGTATATTATTAACCTCATAACGAACGTGTCGCTTTAAACATGATAACTTGCTATATCGACGCAAACATAAAGCACAAACAAAATTCTTTTCTTTTGATTCGTTACAATCTAAAAATAAACAGAACATGAAAAAGATGTATGTCAGAAAAATATTCCTTAATCTTCGAAAGTTTTTTTTAAGTTTTCTTGATCTTGTCTTTGTCGACAAGAAGGTTTTTTTTTGTTAAGTTACATTGAGATATAAAAAAAAAATTGTACATGTTGCAAACGTTTAGAGATTTTAAAAACAAAAATAAATAAGGTATAGATATAAAAATGTAAATAAGTTAAGAAGCATACAGCAGTATTATTATTATTTTATCACGTGCGATCGTCATATTTTCAAATTTAAGAAACAAAAGAGTATAAAGAGAATGTAAGTCACATACATTGAGACTTGTCCCAATTAATTCAATCATCAGAGCTTTTGCGAGATATTTAATTGATTCTCGTAGGATATTTATATCTCATGAATAAGACTTTGAATTGTTTTACATTTGGCAGTTGGAAATTTTTTCGTTCGATGAATGTAATCTTTTATAGAGGATAGAAAAGATTAATCGTGCTAAGATTTTTTTCACGCAAAAACTGCAAATGAAATCTGTTGATAGAATAATTAATTTTGTTAATACTACACCACATTCATGGGGATTTTTATGTGAAAATTAGCGAGTGTCTAAGACAAATGAAGTTAGGCTTGTTTAATTTAAACATTTATGGTCTGTTTCTCTTGAGTGAGATATCCTCAACTATGAAATAAGACAAATTTTTTAAATGAATTTGGAATTCACTGAGAAGATTTAAATCTTTGACTTAATTCATAAATATGAAAAGTCATGATTTCAATTTTTAAATCGATTTCTTTTTCAATTAAATTATCTCGGAAACAAAAATTTAATTCTAATTTTAATCTTTTTTATAAATCCTTAAGAATTGAATGTTATCCTTATTTCCAATTGGATTTAGTTTAAATACCAAGATTGATTCTTAAATCCATTGGAATTATCCTACAAATCCACCAAAATTAGATTCTGAGCTTTTTAATTCAAAATTTTACTAGACCAAACTGACAATTACAATCTTCAAAACCATTTGATCAATTGAGTACATAAACCATTTCACCCAAAAGAAACAGAACCTTCTCACAATTACGTAATAACATAAAAGCTTAGACGTTTTTTAATAACAAGACTCATGAAAGACAATTAAAAGCTCATGGAATAGAACCGTTGATATGTCAGTAAGAGCTTTTCTTTCCATTGCATTTTTCGTTACTTTCACACAAAGCCATGCACACAAAAATTAAATAATGTTAATTATATCAAGGTAAAGAATTGATTAACATTGATATTATGTTATATAAAAGAGATTAACAGTTATGAGTTATTGGAACAAAGTAAAAGAAAAACGTCTATGCCAATGTTATGACCAATTATTGACCGATGACCTTTGATTGATGATTTGAATCTTTTTGTTCAAAAGATTTAAATATAGAACCGAATAAAATATCAATTTTAAGTGCACAAATATTTATTAGTATATATTTTTTGTTTGGAAAAATATTTACATTCATATGTGAGCTACAAAAAGAGAGGAATAATTAATGTTAATAAATGAATAAAAAATTAGTAAATTAATTATTAATAGTAAACTTAAGGCTAATTTTTGGTAAATGATCAAATTTGACTTCCACAAAATGAAAAGAAATACATATAAATAAATTAAGGAAAATGGTCATAGAGTTGATGATATGAGTAATGAAAAAGAAAATAAATTAAAATACTTAAAAATCATATCTTAGGGACCAAAAAAAGGAAAAAAAAACAAATCAATTAAATTTTAAAATAGAAGTTAATTAGAGACATTATTGAGGGAATAATTTACAAATAAATTCTTTAGGTTTTGGAACGTTTGTTGTAATCCTAATTGAGCCATAGATACGTCCGTGTCGTTTAACGGTGAAAATTCCTGTCCAGATAATGGCGAAGGATAATTATTATCCTGTTTCATCATTAACGCTTCGACGGAGAACTTGTCGAAATTATTCATTAGTAAATTAGTCATGGTAAGTTCTTTACTATCTGAAGGTTCCTGTTTTACTGTCACTTTAGCATGTGCCGATTTAACCGTTGGCGGTGTTGGAGGTACAATTATTCCATGCTTTGAGCTCAAATGCCGTACAAGGTGATATTTTCTACGAAATTTCGAGGGGCACATTTCGCAGTGAAAGCGAGGAGGTATATTGACACATTCATCTTCATCGAAAAAGGAAAAATACATGTCGATATCAAATTAAGTTTCTTTAATATCCAATCTCTTACTATACACACTAAACTATATGGACAAAAATTTTTACTTTGGCTGTTTCTCTATCTCTCAATTCATCTTACATGTCTTAATGGACATTACGTATTGTTGGCAATTAAAAGGTTGAAAGATTAACATTTTGGGGAACTTTAATTGATTGGCTGACTATCTGCTTAATTATTCGGAACAATGTGAATTAAATTTTGCTCCAAGACACGCTTTTGTGTCGTTAAAAGTATGACGATCACCAAATTGACAAAAGATAAGTGGTCGTACTCAAAATAATTAAGAATCGAGTCGAAGTTTTAGGGAAATGATACTTATTTTTAAAACCAAAGTAAATGAACTTTTATACTTTGAATCTTAATCTCATGAAAATTGTCTAGCCAGCCATAATAATTGAAGGTAATTCACAGCCTTTTTAATAAAAAAATTTCTATCTCTAATAGTCAAAGTCAACTTTCGAATCTTAATCATTCGAATTACACTGCTCACCTCTCATGTGCCTTTGTAAATGTCTACGTCGCAAATAACTTTTACCACATACTGGACATGGAAAGCGTTCTGATTGTGTGTTTTCGTCTTGCTTAATTTTTGCAAAAATTTCCGGTACACAGGTTAAATTTTCTTCGTTAGCTTTAATGTTTTTAATTATTGTTTTTTTTTTTTCGTCGAGGAGTTAATGTTTGTATGTGTGTATGTGTGTTTGTTTGTTAAGCGTTTATGTGAAGAGGAGGTTAATGTGATTGCGCGAGGTTAATTTGTAAACAAAACATATGAAAGAAAAAGAAAAATAAACATAAAGTGAAAATAATTGAAAAATAAATGAAAATAAAATCACAAAAAAAATACTTAAGTAAAAAACTATAACATTCAGAAAAAAAAAATTGCTACTTTTTGGAACTCAGAATTGAACTTAAAAAATCTTTACTACCAATATATAACAAAAATTGTTTGAAACAAACTAAAAAAGCGTGCATTAAAAGGATGTGATGTGATTTTTAAGAGAAAATCTTCTCTTAACAACCTCGAAATGGTATTTTTCGTTTTCTTTCAAATTTCTTATTAATAAGCTTTTAATGTGTGTGTAGTATGTACTGCGTATTATTTAAGTTTAGAGAAGAATGAAGACATGATTAACCAATGGCTTGATGATTCACAATAATTATGTGTATTTTCCAAGACTGTATAAAATGCCGAGAGAATCGCAAATCATCATAATAGGTAAGTAAGTAAGTATGAAGCAGAGTTCATTGCAACAAAGAATTGCAGAAATATCTTACATTAAAAGGATATTGACCTTCACCTACGTACATGAAAATGTCTGTATTATTTCAATGTTTTTCAATCAATTTACATACATGAAAAAAATAAAGTTTGCATTGTGTGTTCCAGATTTAAGGAAGGTAAGACACAGAGAATGAATAAAGTAAGAATAACATGGACGCAAACCCGCTATTGAAGTTTTTTAGTTTTCTCTTTGCTCACATAGAGTCGCTACATGTTCTATATGTAGATGCGAGACAATGTCACTGAGCACTTTTATACACTCACAAATTCTGTTCCTTATTTTTACACACAATTAATTTCACTATACATTCTCCTTTATGCTAAATTTTTCTTCTTCTTCTTTTCGTATTTATCATTTTCTCATTTCTGTTTTCAGTCTTATTTTTCTTGGTCGCATACACCACTACTGTAGCTCTTCTCATACGTGTATTTATACTATACTTATTTACATGTACTTTTCCACGTTGGCCCTCTAAAATATCTCTTACTTCTCTTTGAAATCATATTTCACAATTACGCGTATTTCTTTTCATTATCACTTACACTTATTTTTAACTTTTTACTTCTCGTTTATTTTCTTACTATTTTGCAGAGCTGAAAAAGGAAAAAACTCTAAAATTTATATTCGAGTTTTTTTTTTGTGGTTGTTGAAAATTTATAACTTAAAAATAAAGTAATTTGACTTAATTTCTAAAATAATTCTGTTCTACTACATCCGATACAGAACATAGTAGCTTTACATTACCTTATTATTTACCATATTATTACTCTTGTTTGCTCTCTCTCTTGCCGTTTGTGATTGTGCCATGTGAATTACCTCATTACATATTCATTTTCATAAATATGTAACTACTATTTACCATTCTAAATACCAAGAATTATACCATTCACATTGGCAGTCATCACATTATGATGATTGAAACTTCTTCTTCTTATTTGTATATTCAACACTTTAACAATAAAATTTAAAAACACTGATTTTGACTGATTTTTATGTTGTTTCAAAAAATGAAAATGTTATTTTTTTTTTGTTGTTGTCAAGAATGAAGGCCAACGTGTGCAAATATAACGTGGACTTTCTCACCCATTTCTAAGCATGGTTTGTTCCTTCTTCTTACATAAAACAAGTTTTTAAAATTTGGAGAAATTTTAAGCTATTATACACCATCTTTCATGTACAAGCGGTTGCTGGCTTTCATATATATTTATATCGATTCCATTTCACAATAAGGAAAGGTTTGTGTCACTTTTCTTTCATAGCAAATTAATATTTTTTTTTTGCTTGCTTGCTTCTTTCTACGTACATAGCACAATATTTATATCAATGTGAATTTTTATGTACAAAAAGCGAGTTTTTGAACTCATTTACTCTTAAATTTTTTATATTTCTTCGTTAATACAAGACGATGATGTTGAAAAAAGGAATTATTTATGTTTTTTTTAAATATAAATTTTCTTTTTCCGCAAGTCATATTTAAATTTTTTTTTGTTGGGCTTTTATAGGAATTTTATAATATGTTTTTCAAAAATTAAAATATGGGCAAAAATATATAAAAAAAATTGAAGAAATAATAAAAATCAACAGAAACCAAATCAAAAATGATAAAATGCAAAAAGTATAAAATTTAGGTATACGCACTCAGAAAATCAAGTTTATCTCATTTCTGATATCTCAATTTTTTAAAGTTAATTACTTCTAAAAACAACTAAAGGTCAAAACTACAAATAAAAAAATTAATAATTTGTTCACAGAAGTTCTGTGTGCGTAATTTTCACGATTTTTGAAATATGAAATATGATTGTTATATCATCGATCAATAATAAATAAAATATTAATAATGCTTTTTATGCTACACAATCACCAAATGTTTTTTTTTTTGCAATATTAAACTAAACTAATATATGAAAAAAAGGTTTCAAATGTTAAAATTAATTCATTGTCAAACATAAAAGTTTTGTCAAATGTTAATAAAAAAAACCATTCCAAATCAAAGTCTAACAGAAGCCTTAATGCAATACAGTTGAATGTGTATTTTGTCCCTAAAGCTCTATAAATATATATATATATATATATATATATTTACACAAATATAACTAAATAGCTTCTCAACTTATTGCAGTAAGATTCCTGGCGCTTTGGCCATTTATTTTGCGAGAACAATGTACATATTCATAAATTAGAACCTCAAATACCTCTATAAAAATGTTAATAAAACGTGTGACTTGAATGCAATAATTTATAATGAATGTATACAAAAAAAAAGAGTAAAGTATATAAGACTAAACTTATGCGTAGATTATGTTACTTTAGAAATGATATTGCTTTGTGGAAAGTCAATCATTTGAGTAAAATAAAATATAAATTAATATATGTACATGTAATTATTATTATTATTATTGGAGTGTAATAAAGTAGAGAAAAATAAACACTACACTGTCCTCGCAGAAATAAATGTACCGATAAATGAAAGATGAGGCTTACCTTGTGCGTCTCTATGTTGTCCGCTTCCCTCCTGACTCTCCTGATTTCTTCCATCCATTTGCCAGTGATATCCTGTGATTAGAAAAAAGACAAAACGTTTAGCAATCTTGAATTTTCTTAAATAGAAAATTGTGTAGAATGTACCTTGACTAGAGCCTTCTCCACCGTGACTCGGTCCAGCTTGGTCTAAATCTTCCAGCATTTCATCATCCATTGTCAAATCCTCAACATTATCATCATCCTCATCATCGTCATCGTATTCATTTTTAGGTTCAATCATTAACTCCGAATCCTGCTTATTATTGTCCGAATCATCAGTTGTTTGTTTTAAACGCTTTGTATTATGTGCAATTTCTTCATCGTGCTCCTGATTATTTCCGTCTTGTTCAGTCTTTTTATTGTTGGTAACGGACAAATTGTTTGTAGGTGCAGAGGTAGCGGAGGTTGATAATTGTTGTTGTTGCTGATTATTAGAATGTGATGAGGAATTTGAGTGCTGGTCATGATTATCTATTAATTAGAGACATAAATCGTCAGTTCAAGAAGTTCATTATGTGTACTAAAAAAATAATCATCGTTTGATTATTGTGGACGAATGACGCATACCTAATAAATTATTTGTTTCAGCCAAGCTCTTACGACGTTGATTTACTTTTTTGCGCTTACGTGTTGATGGTGAAACGGAACCTTCTCGAGAGCCTGACACGTCTGCATCAAAATCTGTTCTCAAAAGCGGTCTTTTGTTTTCTATGGTTAAGCCTGAAGCCTATTGAAATGAATTAAAAAAGTAGAAATTAGTAAATTATCAATATGTCTTGTTTATTGCCGTCTGTATTACCTTTGGTGGTACAGGTATATGTTGTTTCACATCACTTTTATGTGCTTGAGATGGTGTATTAGTGGAATTATTATTTCCTCCTCCTCGGCTGTCAGAGAGACCTTTGATTTGTAAAGATTCGGCTGCCTTAAGTAAAGCTGCCAACTGATCTTGAGAAATATTCACTTCTCCTCGATACATGTAATCCATCATGGCACGCAATTCTTGAAATTTAACATCCTTAAGGATGAAAATTGGATGCTTATCATACTGTTGTGATAATAAAGCCTATAATGAAACAAATAAAAAAAAGTGTCATAGAATGAAAACAAAAACCTTCATGAATTGTATCAATGCACGACTTACAGCAAAATATGGACTACAGGCTGATAAGACGACTTTATGTGCTTTTAAAAATTTTCCTTCTGCTGCTAGTGTGCAGTCAACTAGTGTTCCATTTTCCAATAATGTATCAAACACTGATATTAGCGTGCTCTGATGATTATTCCATCGGAGACAAAATTGTTGATCATCATCCATTGTTGATGATCTTTTATGGTATTATTTCTGTTTTATTTTGTATTCAATTAAACGGAAAATATTTTTTTTTTGTTGTTTTCTGTGATAATTCAGCGTACTTTTATCTTCCTCACTTCTCAAGTTGATTCTGAAATTAAATACAGTAGAACATAAAAGAATTATTAATTAATATGCAATTTACAACAATTATAATACACACTAAGTCTACTTCATTTACTTTATGAAACAACAAAAAAAAAGAGTGAACAAAAAACACAATAATTCGATTATAATCAAGTTTAAAATTTATGCATAATGAATATGCTTTAATAATAATAATAAAATATATGAACACACAAGAGTTAAATGCGCATTGTAGATGTATGGATGATCACTTGCACAGTGCATTGTCTGCTAGTCATTATAAGATTGCGTCAAGGTCGATCAAAGAAAAATAATGGACATATTGTTAGCGTTGTCTTGAAATCTGCATTAAAATATGTTGAATGTATTACTGGCAAGCTACCAAGAAATTTAATACGTCATATTACTGTGTTTAAATTTATTTAAAAAAACTACATATGCATGTGAGCTGCATAGTGTAACGACAACGACGACGACGAAAATAACTTAAATTTAGATACAATTGACGGTCGATAGTAAGGAGTAATGAGAGAAATGGGAGATCATGATGAGTTTTCAAACTTTTAATGAAGCATTTTATAAACAGCAGCAACTACATGCCGTAAATACTTTGTTTTTACGCGCTACATTCGCGCAAATGGCAATGTAATCAATTTATAGAATTTATAATAAAAGGTTCATAAGAAAAATAAAAAATAATCGTGTATGCAAATGCACAAACAGTCCTGCTCAATACTTAAAATTGATTTGTTATACATTAATTTTCACACTTGAATATAATTTTAGATGCTTGGCTTGTATGCTACGCGATTCGTTAAAACAATTTCTAGATGAAGCTTCGAATAGGTGCAGTATGGCTCATTTTATATTTTATGTGATGATAAAAATAAAAAAAAAAAATAAAATTTAAATATCCAATAAACTTTAAAACGGAAAGAAAATTCAATCAATATGCACATAAATGAATTATACTTTACTCGGACATTGCCTGTGTAAAAAACGACATTTGCCATTAAGCCTGCCTTGTTGTGTTCAAGTACATGGAATTTTTCCATTTTTCACGACATTTTATGGAAACAATTTGTTTAAATTTTATTGCAACAACTGCATGTCGTATGTGACGTGTTCGTAAACTTGAAGCTCCTTTCGTTCAACTCTCTTGATCATTATTCTTATTATTATTATTATTATTTAAAATTTAGCCAGCATAGCAGCAACAGCAGAGTATAATCTGTTTGTTCCTATCCACCCACCTACACAAAACATGTATTAAAAACTCCAAATATGATTCTTGATCGACGAACACACAAAAAAGACATGAGCAAAACCAAAAACCCGAAACTTGTCTTATTCATTCTTATTTTTTTTTCGCGTTTCTTTACAAAACAAGTGTCTTTCATATGACTATGACTGTATATTCCATACATACGTCCGAATCTCATAAAAATGAAATAAGATATTTTGTCGATTTTTTGGGGATTTTAAATGGGAATCAATTTCGCAAAAAACAAAAATTATATATGTAATAGTGTGTGGCTGAGCGCCGATTTTATTCATTATGTGTATAAGTTGATATAAGTTTTCTGTGATGCCAGAGCTTTAATTAAGTTCATCGTGCTTAATAGTATTTATGTTAATCAACAAGCAATTTTAATTCGTTATTTTTTTTTTTCTTCACTCACTCACGGCTGTTGTTTTTGTATTGTTAATTTGCACATTTTTTTTCTTCTTTCATTGCGTTGAGCAGAAGTGAGTATCAGCTGTACAGTGAAATCCTGCCTACACACAGGCGATATTTAAAAATCATCATCATCACTTTTTATTAAAGTTTCATGTGAGAATAAAAGAAAATATACGAAAACGTATAAAAAACCATAAAAATGCTCTCTGGCTTCACTTAATATACATGATGGCAATTTTTCTCTCAGTTTTAATACATTTTTTTTTGTTGTTTAAAGTGAAGGTTAAAACGAACAAAGTGTTTTTATGGTCAGGCTCAGTGATGATGATTATTATTCTTATTATTGCTATTGCATGTAGAGAAAAATCTTTATTGTATTTATAATATTTGTACTTAAGTGGCAACAAAAATATGATTTTTTTTTTTCTTTACCGAAAACTCTTTTCATCATTGTACGCGCAACGTTGCTAATTTTTTGTTGATGTCGTTCCCTCTTAAATATATACATTTTTTTTATCAACATGACATTTCTTTTCACTATTTATTCTTTTTGTGTGTGACGGGACCCATAGAGCAACAACAAAATAAAAATCAACATTCACTCTCTGTCTCTTTTCCACATTTTAAAGTTTCAAATTGCCAAAGAAGATCTTGCAATGGGGTTGATGTTAATGTGTGCGCGATCCGAAGAAAAGAAAGAAAAGAATGTAAATTTTTTATTACTCTCTCAAGATCAGCATTTTTCACTTTGCACATTCAATTTTTTTTTTTTTGGGCTTGGCATATTATATAGAGGAGATTTCGTATGAACTTTAATCACATAATAAAACCTAACAATTTATGAGACTATTAATGGTAAAATTTATGAAATTGTAAGAATCTTTATTTCTATAAATAGCGTAAAAAAAAGCTTGTAGTTTAATAAAATAAAAGGAATGCGCAGAAAAAGTATGTGGGATATGTCACTACATTGTGAAATAAATTTCAACCATCATTTGAGATTTAAAAATTTGGCGCTAAAATTATTGTAGGAAAATTCAAATTCTACAAATCCGTTATTTTACACGCTTTTGTTTAACTCACACTGTTTGTATGTTTCATGCGTCAAATTTTAGGGGTTGAAAAAATTCAATTTTGGAAAATCCGTTGATTTTAGAACATACATTAAGAACCTTGAAAATGGATAGGAAATACCAAAAATAATCTCAATGTCACTGCCACACAACTTATTTTTCGACAGCGTTCATGTAAAGTAGGAAAATGACATTCTCGAAAAATAAAAAAGTTTCATCGCTATATATGATCATCATTCAGTATAACATAGAATGAATAAATGTTACAGGTATAGGAGCTTATTTAACATACAACTTGTTTTTGTGTTATGTGTAGGTAGTGAAAAGAGAAAAATTGTTCATTTACGAATCATATTTTAATCGCAAACAGTCGAAAAAAAATATTTTTTTTTATTATTTGAAAGGAAGATGTGAAAAGCAAAGAGAAAAATTGTATGTATTGTGTATGGTTACTTCAATTCAGTTTCGCTTCGGGGAACTTTAAGCATGTATGTGTCGAGATTTTGAATTTTCAGCGAGAATTGACGACGCTTTTTAAAAACTTTTTTGACTACTCTCCTTTTTCTCGAACAAATGCTTTCATTTTGCATCTTTAAGGATGTCCAGAAATTTTATTTTAGCTAAGCATTGCAAGTTTCAATAATGTAATAGTAATGATGTTGGCAATAATAGAGGACATTCAATAATAATAATGCTTCATAATTATCTAAGTCTGTATTATTATTTTTTTACGACTCTTTACATTTTAAATGACCTACAATGTAGTGATGCTTATAAGCAATGTCGAAAAATCGTTTGAAGCCACTTGCAAAAACAGTTGATTCTCTTTATTTTTTTGTGTGGAAAATCGGGTTTTAAATAGAAACGGCAATAAGCGAGAATGGGACAAATAGCTTTTCCCAAATATCATTTATGTTCAGCACTTTTTTGTATGCTACATAGTGTAACAACAACATTCTTCTTTGTAAAAAAAATATCATAGAGCTACACACACACATCAATAATGATTATTTTAAGAAATGATGAGGTTTCGCATATACTGAATAAGTACTTAAATACTCTTTTTTTTTTTGCTGCTCGCTGATACTTCAACGGTTTTAGGACTCACTGAGGAAACAATCATAATTTTTTTTGGGACCCCTTTTGTAATAAAATATTGAAAAAAGGAAAATTAAATAGCAAAGGGGAAACCTTTTGTGCTCACACACAAGCCTCATTTGACAAATGTCTCGAATTTTTAACAAAGGGGGAAATTGGAAATCCATATAGACATAACATAGAACAGCAACTGCAATGTTTTTGGATTCTGAATTGAAGATTAATTTATGTTAAAGAGGGAGGATATAACAAAATATAGGAAGAGACACACGCACACAAAACGAAAACTATGCTTTTATATCCCTCATATTCATCATCGTCATCTCCCCATCATGTGCTGTGTGTTTTTTTTTTGAAAAATCTTTATACCCAGTTTTCATGTTCTTTGTTATGATTTTCTTTCTTTTTTTTTCTCATCACTTTTTGTGCCGCTTTTCGTTTTTTTCAACTAATATATGCATTTGGCTTTGTATTCGGCAGATGTTTTGAAAAATAAAAAGCATACTCCTATTTACAACTTTAAGAGCGAACAACTGGAACGCTCACAGAAAATGAATAAGTAAAGAAGAGGAATTTATTTTATTTTTTTTTTTCGAATGATTGGAGTTTCCTTTTTTTGTGAAGTTTGTTGTACACTTTCTATACACATTTTCGGATGGATGGATAGATGGATGAGGCAACCGAAGTTGGTATGTTACAAAGGAAAAGAAGTGTAGCTGTGTTAGTGGATAGATATTTCAGCTTCCTTTTTATACATTTCCCATACACAATTTTCAATACAGAAAATATCAGAAGCAAATTTTACGAACAGACGAAACGAACGAGGCATAGAGATCGTCGTGCTTCAATGTAGAAAATTTCCATCGGGGAGTTTGTGTTTTTTGATCAAACTGTACACCTTTTCATATTTCCTTTCCTTCAAAAAATGCTTCGATCTCGATGTCGATGTAATAATGGAGAGTAGGAACAGAAAAAAATTTATTAATGAGCAGATTTTTTTCGCTCGTTTCAATGCATAAACTGGCATAGACATTGCATCTACGAATGTAATAATAAATTAACTTATGCACTTAGCAGTGAACTTGAACATTTTCCGTACTCTTGGCTACTAGCATTATTATTATTATTAATTCAAAGTCAATGTTATTAAACATGTTTTATACAGCAATAGCTGTGTATATAGAAGGAATTTTTGTGCAATAATGAAAACAATGTATTCACATTTTCATATTTCTAGTCAGTCGTTGTCGTAGGCTTATTATATTTCGCAATGCTGTATACACATATTATGTTCTTAGGTTTCAATTCTATTCTCGCTTCCTCCTTCTTACTGTTTGCTTGCCTGCCTGCATTTTCATCACGAAAGAGAATATGTGTGTGTATGAAGCATAAATCCGCCAACATAAATTAATCATCATTTTATTGCTAATTGAAAGCATTATTTAAATCTTATGACAATTTTTACGTGCTTACGAGGCACTTTTCATCGACGACGACGGTTGGATGTATGTAAAATTTTATGTGCCTCTCTAACACGCGCGTTACTACCTTATGTATACTTATTATTTATTATGTCCGCTGCGTGTGTATTGGAAAATGGTGAGATCATATTTTTCTTAGAATGCTTTTTTCTTCTCTCTTTCCTTGTGCTTGCTCTGTTTGATCATCTTAGTAATATTATGAAGCAGGCAGGCAGGCAAGAAATGAAAAGAAACGAAAAAAATTCTCGCATATTCTTATTTTTATTTTTCTTTCTACATTCATTTTTCACTCGTTGCTGCTTGTATTATTTGAGACGATAAGATTTTTTTTTTTATTTTTTATGTCGAACGAAAAGAAAAGAAAAAAAAATTTTCCGACCGAAGCATAATATTGGGTTCGTAGGGACTTTTGTGTGTGAAAGTGAGTGGTTTATGTCAATACACGGTGGAAAAATGTCCAAATGTAGTAGTAGTAAAGCAATCGCCATTTGCTTTTTTCATTCGGACAATCGGGAAAAATGATTTTCATAATATCACTATATTAAATTAACTTAGTCAAGGTCTATACTATTATAATTTTAATCCATCAAGTATATACTTTATGCTTCAACATTTTTGATCATTTAATTTCCATTACTTTTCACGCAAAAAACATTTTCATAATGACGCCCAACGAGGATAACTTTTATGTCGGGTTTTTGTTCACTCTTTTAATTACATCACAATTTTTTTATTACCATTAACATTAACTTTAACTTATTACTCACCGTATTTAGCACAGTCTTCATTTAATATCACAAAACTAATACTTAATTTTCCGTAGTTTAAATTTATTTTTTCAAAATGGCGTCTTTTAATTCTGCGAGCACAAATTTTCACGTCTTAATTCTTTAAATGATTTTGCTGAACTGAATAAATATGCAGGCACGAACACTGACAACACTTTTAGTCGATATCATATATTCACACCGTCACAAACTTTCTCACTTATGTTTTTATGCTTTAATCTACCTGCTTATGTCTTCTTAATATCGTACTGTAATTAAAGTTTATGACCAAAACATGGTAAAAGTTAATTAAAGGGTAATTCCATGGAACAATTTTTCAACAAATTTGTCTCTCAATTGGGGGATCAAAAAAGCATACAGAATAATAGATTATTGAACATTCTATCATAATCAGTCATATAGTAAGCTCAAAAGTCTATAATTAAGCCAAAATTTGAATTCCATGGTTCTTACAAATATGTTTGAAATGCACAATTTTAAAATTTCTAGTTGAATTTCGCTTTGCCATGTATTTTTAAGCATCTAAACTTGTATTGCTATTTATTCATTTAAACTAAAGATATTTATAGATTAATAGACTATAATAAATCAGACAAATTTGTAAACAATGAAATGTTTCTATGGAATTACCCTTAAATGTGTTTTTCCAGGAAATTTTCATGAAACAATAGAAAATTCACACGGTTCGAATAGATTTCTCTTTTGTTTACTATGATTTTTATGCTATTTCATAAGTTGATGCTCTTACCTTCAATTCCTGACTGTTTTGATTGCTGTTATTGCCTTAAATCACGTTTAATTTAATTAATTTAACTTTTTCACTGTGCGAATATAAATGCGGGAACTTTAATATCGAAAATTCGAATATACGATTTTCGAACTCTTTTCAATCAAAATTGTCAAATTTTAGAACATAATAAAGTAAACAGTTCAAGAGCTAAGTTCATTAAAATTAACTTTAAAATATGGCTAATCCTGAAGCCCAAGTAATCAGTTCTTATCCACTACCTCCAACGCAGTACATTAAACTCTATACAAATGAAAATGTATCAAAAAACCTTGCACCAAAGGCACCAAACCATGAAAAGATTGAAAGTTACTCGATGTTTGGGAATACTTTTACAAATGATGACACAATAATAAGGCCACTTGAGAGTCAACAGATACGACGCTTATATCCACAGCATTTTGAACGAAAAAAGGAGCTCAAGAAGTTAAACCATTCATTATTTGTCAATTTTCTGGATCTACTGGATCTTTTAATCAACTCGCCAGACTCATCACGGAGAACGGAGAAAATTGAGGATTTGACATTACTTTTTGTACACATTCATCATCTCTTAAACGAATATCGTCCACATCAAGCTAGAGAAACACTCCGAGTAATGATGGAACTACAGAAGAGACAGCGAATAGAAACTTCCAAACGGTAAGTGACATACTTACCACCTTGATTTATTCTTCCTTAATACTTTGTTTTATTCTAGATTTAATTATCATCTCGAGAAAGTGAAGGATATAGTGAATAATGGCTTTGTGAACTTAATGCCATTCTTAAGTGGAACTAGCTTTGAAAATGAAGTAGACAACTTGAATCTGTCGTCGACCGAGAAGAATACAAACGATAATGTTGATCCAAACGATATTCTTATGTGCTCCGTTGCGGATAAAATCTTAGTTTAATTATATCATTACTTCCAGAGTGAATTCTATTAATTTAATTCAGTTTATTAATGATTATTTTAAGATTTAAATAAAATTAAATAGTTCTAAACTTAACGGATATTTAAGGGTTTGAATTTTTGTGTATAAGTAGATATGTGCCCTAAACAGAGGTGATAATTAAGAACAATTAAGCTATGTAAGATAAAAGAGGCACCAGGTATAGCAGAGCAATAAAGTAAGCACCTGATTTTGGAGCAATTTTTACCTGTTACCATAAAAATCTGTTGATTTAACAGAACTCTACTCGCTAAGATAACGCGAATTTACAGATAAATCGCAGATAGCCAAGCTGTATTTTGTAAATAAAAAACAGTCGGAAAATTATGAACTTTTAAAGAATTATATTATGTGATTAAATCGCGAAAATGTTCAGTATAGAAAACTATATTAAGGAACTGATAATCAGTAAGGTTGAGAAGTTTGTAAGGAACATCAATCCAGAGGAGTTGAAGAGCCAATTTAAGGTAAAAATCAAAATCAAAAAAATTACGTGAAAATTTTAAATAATTTGCATGAAAAAGTTTGCCACGTCTAGACTTATATTTAATTTATCTATATTCGTGATTTTTAGGTTTCATTATGGGAAGGCGATATGGTGTTCCAAAATTTGGAACTTAAATTAGACGTACTGGATGAAGAATTGCAGATTCCGTTTACATTCATCTCCGGCTTTATTAAATACCTAAAGATCCAAATTCCATGGACTAAAATCGGAAATGAGCCGATAACATTGACTATTAATGACTCAGAACTAGTTGTTAAACTAAAGGATCTATCAAACTATAGTCCCCCAATGCCAAAACCAAAGAATAAGGGAAATTCACTAGAAGGCGATGAATCATCCAGTGGATATATCGCGAGTCTTATCGCTAAGATTGTAAATAATATTTCGGTCATATGCAATAATATCAGTATAAAGTTCCTTGAAGATGATATCGTTTTTTCGATGAATATTCCACACTTGTCAGTTTATTCAGCAGATAGTAAATGGAGACGTGCATTTACGGATGTCTCATCAGCATCAAATGTTATTTTTCGAAAACTTATTAATATTATTGATCTGACAATATGTCTGGATAAGAGAAATTCTTTAGGGAAGATTGAATATGTACAGGAACCATTTCTCTATAAATGCAGTATGGAACTGCGAATATTTAGAAAAGCTAATTCTATAAATCCAGAAAAGAGTTCAATGATGAGAATTGATGTTCAAACAAAGTCACTGAATTTGAATGTAAGTTCACAGCAATTAGCTATGCTTGTTCGTCTTACAGAATTATTTGTGGCATTAAAATCTGGCAAGTTATTTGATCAGAATAAAGTGCAAGCAACTAGTTCTGCAACAAATGAAAATGCTGATGAAAATGACGAATCGTGGGCTCTATGGATGTGGAATAATATGGTGCCAACATTAATGTCAAATGAAGCACAAAGTGAGGATATAGAAGCAAATAGCAAAAAGATATTTGAATTTGGAATGTATATTGAAAATGCACAGATAGCTTTAAAATCACAAGAACTGGTTTACGATCCAATCATCCCATCAGCCAAGAAGGCAATCCTTAAGCCTTTACTAGAAATTAATGTGAGAGAAATGTTTGTGATAACAATAATTTGTGGAAGTCGATATTTTAATGTAAAAGGTGGTATTAGTAATTTTGATGTTAAAGCCCTCGACCACTGTCCATGTAGCTCCAAAACTACAGAAATTTACATTATGAAAGCTAATAAGGAACTGAATGGATCATATTTGGTCGATTCATATTTCGATAAAACTCTCACAGCACAAAATAAATACAAAGAAATGTTCAACAACTATTTTGAGAAGAATCATGAGGAAAGCATGTTGTCAAAAGTTTGCATATCCTTTGATATACTTCATTCTGTTGAAATACCTGACGACCGTTGTAGTTCAGATATTGGAAGTGACTTGGAGTACAGCAATTTTTCTGAGAATTACATAATTAGGGTTTTTGGTGATAAGATCAATTTTTATGTCACTGCTGATGCAATTCATAGAATCGAAAAGATTATCCAATATTACAATGAATGTGATTTTGCAACCTACGTAAAGGAGGAAAAGATTCCAAATAAAAACCAATTGAGTCCAGCAACAGCAGATGATTATGAAGCATTAATTAACGAAACTCCAATTAGGAATATCATTATGAAAATGAAGAATAGTGAATTGCATGTTAAGGAGTGGGATCATGAGAAGGTGCAGAGAAATTCCAGGAAATTAGGAAGACAGCATAGCTTTAATGAAAATTCAAATAGAAGCTGTACCGAATTCGTTATTAAATTGGGAGATTTTACACTTAAAATTGAGAGTCCTCTTTATAGGAATCGCTTAGTCTATACAGCATGTCAGCTACCCGATAATATCGAAAATGAGCTGTTCCAAAAGTGCTTCACAATAATTAAGACAAATGTAAAGAACATCGTAATTGACATGATGGAAAGTAATGCCAAGAAAATTTGTGAAATTTTAAAATTTTCGTCCACCTTTAAAAGCCTGATTTATCCAAGTTTATGGGAAGAATATGACATAAAGCAAAACTCTTTTGATATGGAACTAAATGGATTAACATTTATGATGAATCCCGTTCAGTTTTTAGTTTTTTATAAAACAATAATTTCGAATGTTCAAAGAAATCCAACAAATAGCGAAGCTTCTTGTAGTCTAATCGAAAATATTAATAATCCAGAACTGATTGTGCTACAACTTACGTCCAGAATATTACGATTTAAAATGTCAAAATTATCAAAAGTATCACTATTCGAGTTCACAATTTCAGACATGATTGGACTAGCTTGGAAAAAAGGATCAAAGTCTATTGTAGTCAACATTCCAGATAGCAAGAATAAAATGCCGTCTTTTTCAACGAGAGAAAAAGAACCAAAATCCGACGCAATTCTTCACGTCTACCTTCAAATTCCAAATAGTGAAGTTGCTGATCAAGATTCATTGACTATTTTTGTACTTGAAACATCTGAAGGATCTATAAATCTTGATCCATTAATGAGAGAATTCCTGTCATTTAAAATTAAACCAGATCATGTCAAGGAAAAGGAATTTAAAAGAACATTAAGTTCATCCACAAAACCATTACTTACAGAATTGTCAAATATTCAACAAAGCTCTGCACATTCCAGTTCAGAATATCAAGACACATTATGTCCATCTGTACAGACAACAAAGGTAGACAAAAACTTGTCAAACTCTTTTAAAGAATTCCGAAAATACATAATAAATGCACATATACGTCCAATTAGCGTGTACTATTCAACAACCATTCTTGAATCATTCAAAGCAAGTGATTCTATTCGTGGAAATATACAGTCGAGTGGCTGTAATGCGATAGTTTTCAAAACACCGGTACTGACATTTCATTCTGTGAAAAATAAGATGCTTACTAAATTCGTGTCTGAACATTTCCCGGTTAATCTTCCGAGTATTTTATGGGGAAATGACAAAAGCTTAACATGGAACTTTGAACTCAGTAATTTGAGTGTCTTTATTGTTAGTGACAGAAAAATGTTTCAAATAATCCAAAATGCAGCAATGAAGGTGTCCGTAGCTGATGAGAGTCAGTTAGAGGATACAGAACTTTACAGTGGAAACGTACTAATTGAAATATTTCCCATATTAATCACCTTCCATACAAGCAAAATAGAGTTTATAAGTTCAGCCATGAAGGAAATTAGTAATTTTGCCATATTTGGGTCAAATGGAAATTTCGATGATAAGACACAAGACTGTATTAATTATGTTGAGGAATCAACTCCGAGTGCTTTGGACATTAAAGATTTTCTTGGTCTACAAACTGGATCGACGATCACTAAAACATCTCTTCCTGATTGTACTGTCAAAAGTGAGTTGAATCCTTTTATCATGTTTTTAGGTTTAAGTGTTTTAATATATATTAATTTTTAAAGTTTTAAGACTAGAAATTATTTTAGTTCCACCTTTTAATTTACTAATTTATTTGCACTGTAGAACTTATTTCATTTCGTGATAAAATTACTAACAAACGTGAGTTTTAGTTTATTAATTTCTGCTTGACATCCTGCTTATTTTTAATAATAATATCTGTTTTTATTGTGAAATTCTTGTTAATATTTTGATTTAACATTATATAATTTTCTAATTTAACACCAACCTATTCGGTTTCAATTTAAACTTAAAATGATTCTTAATTGTATAATTCGTGAGTTTTTAAATAAGATGATAGGAGTTTCGGATAAAAAAAGGGGAAAAAAAATCCTACATGAAAATTATATTAATTTTATATATAAAAGATAAAGTAAAAAAAAAAGAGAAAACCTGACCTTTAGGAGGATAGAGGTTTTGGAAGTCTGTGCTTCAAACGAAAGTCTAAAGAGTCATATTCATATTGTCCCAGATTGGAGATTAAATCGTTACTGTGTGATGCGCAATTTGAGTAAAATTTACTGGTCAGTTTGAGTGTGAATTCTTTAATAGTGGGTATTTTGGCCTGAGAGTGAATTACTTCATTTGAGATGAAGTCATCCCATTTGATTTCATATATTTGTCTTAGTAGCTTATTTTGGAAAATTTGGAGTTTATTGAGATTAGTTTTTGCACAATTAATAAAAATCGGACAAGCATAGGTTATTATTGGACGTAGAATGGATTTGTATATCCTGAGTTTTGAATCAGAAGACACTCCCGAGTTTCTTTTTAATAGTGGATATATTGTTGAGTAAGCTAAACCTTTAGCTTTACTTAAGACAACATCTATGTGATGTTTAAAAATTAGTTTCTGGTCTAGATGAACTCCTAGATAACGAACATGAGATTTCCATTATTTTTAAATGATTTGTTTTTATTCGCTCTATTAATTAATATTCAAGGTTCTAAACTTAGGATTAATTCTCGTGCTTCTTAATCCAAAATTTAATCCTGAGAATTCTCTTTACACCAAATTTAATCCAAAAGCTTATTACACACACATTTTATCCCAATTGCTAATTTTTCTCATCCCATTAGAGTCCAAAACCAACATAAACTTCTACATCCAATCGATATGCTCCAAAGTTTGTTTAACATTAATTGCTGATGATGTTAAGGTTCCAAAGAAGTTTGTATTTGAAATTGACGAAACTTTATTCAGCATGCATCAACAAGAATTCTTTCAACTAAAATGCAAGATCACATCAATATCTGGAAATCATTTTCATCAAATCGAAGGCACAAATGAATGGATTAAAAATTTAAATCTTGGCTTTAATATTCAATCAGAACAAAATATATCAGATACAGTTAGTCGATTCCTCGATGTGACTTTAACAAAGGCTGAAACTATTAATGTTCATTCTAAATGGAATGTAGAGCTGAAAAAGAATTCACAGCTTATTCTGAGTAATGTTTCTGAAATTAATGTTATCCTTCAATCCTTTGATTTCATCATATCAGACGAGGTTAATGACTTTCTACGATTAATGCAAATGCTCCAAGGAAAGCCACAGAAGAAACAAAAAACATTCATGCAGTATGCAGGCTCAGATTTACCATTGTTCCATTTAAATTGCAATGGGTTTAGAATTTTCCTGCCAAACCTTGTAAAGGAATCAAATCCAAATGTGCTAATCTTGAAGGTAATAATGACTTTAAATGATTTTTAACAAGTTTTAAGTTCAAGACAGATACAATTACAAACGAATTCTCATAAAATCTTATAATTATCAGGTTCACAACATTCAATTATCACCAAATGCTGTAAATAATTTAATTCGTTCCCAAATCATTCGTCCTGACATAGTAAATAAGGCATCAAATTTAGGAATATTGGATTTAGTAGGATCGAAAATTGAAGATCGACAGTATCAGTTACTTATCAAAGGTTGTTCGTTAAACTCATCAAATTGGAATGATATTACAGACATAATTTGTGAGAAGAATGTTGAAAATTACGATAATCCAGCTACTATATGGAATAATTTTGAGAATGGTCCATCATTTCCAAACTTTAAGTGCAATACCATATTTAAGGATTCCTCATTTTCATTCATTTATGCTCCGTGTATAAAATTTAAGGAAGTAGTTGTTGCTGGTGCTGCAATAGAAATCAATTGTATTGAAAATATGAACATTATCACTTCCTTAGATCAAGTAATTTTGTTCGTCGATCTCGGTGAAAAGTTTAAGGAAATTGGAAATTCATTTTCAAAAGCTGACAAAGAATCAGAAGAACTAAAAAATCCAATTAAACCAGAAATAGTTAAAGTAAGAAAGAATAAACGTTTTATGGAGAAAAAGTCAAATGATGATTCAGGCGTAGCTTCAACAATGTCAAACTCTTATCTCCATAAATCTAGACGAGTGCTACATAGAAAGGTTTCTACAATCACGAATGAAAACTCTGATTTTGTTCCTTTTGAATTTACATTCACTAGCAGTAAGTTCAACTTTAACTTTTCTATAAACAATATAAGTTATTACTTTTTACTGGATACGCCAAATTTGTATATTACTCAAAATGGAAATGACAAGACTTTTAATGTGTCGTTGCATGACTTGAAGATTGATAATGAAGCAACAAGTTTGTTGTTTACTCGTCATGGAAATGTTGATCCAATTTCTGGCATTGCTAATTCACTATTGAGGATTAAAGTGATGGAAAAATCATTAAGGAATTCTGAGTTGTCATTTGAAGTTGGACGATCAATTTGTATAAAAATCAAACCTGAAATAATTTCAGAAATTCTTAATTTAATGGAAAAATTAAAAGGAAATGGAAGTAAAGTGAAGAATGTTCCCAAAAATATTAGAATCCACTCAAAAGTAAGAAAATTTGATTCCATAAAGTTATTGATGAACAACTTTAAAATAATTAACTTAAAGACTGATCAGATTGTGTTTGATATTTCTTCCGACGATACCTTCCAAGTCACATTCGGTGTACAAAACATTAAAGGAAGATTAAAGTTGTTTGATCGACCAGAAAAGCTTGAAAGTAATTTTGAAATAAATCATGTAACTGCAAAATGTGGAAATAATGTTTTCATACATCCATTAAGTATTGAGTCAAAGCTGAAAATTACACAGGAATATTGGAAGAAGGATCCTTTAGTATACTTGAATGTTATATTCAATTATGTCAAGTTTGATGTTTGGCCAAATTTGATTGATCGACTTGTTGCTTTTGGAGATACGTTAGGAAAAGTCATGAATGTCAATAAGAATGATAAGATGAATGACAATAAAGAGACATCAATAGATTTTACAGAAGTGAGCTTTGAGAAGATCCAGCTACATCCAGAGATTTATAAAATAAACGACTCAGAAGCTGTTGAGCATTTTTCAGACGATTTAAGAAGTGGAATTTACACTTTTGTTGAAGTCGTTACTCCATTTCAAGAATTGCCACTCCCATATCAAATTCACTACCAAGAGACTGGAATAATATGCTGGCGATATCCATTGCCAAGAGCATTACACAAAATTAAAATATTTCCAGCACCTCTGCAGACAAGCAATCAAATTAGAATCGATTGTAAAATTGAGTTTTATTCACAGTTAAAATCACAATTTGAAGAACTGATTTCATTAAGCCTGAACGAAAATGAAACTAAGATATTGGATATCCAACAGAATGTCATGTTTGCAGAAGTTTGGAGAATTAAGTTTAAAGTTAATATTAAGAAAGATTCAGACGATGAAGAGGATTACGACGGCGAAATAGAAAGCGAATTGAATTATCTCCAAATGCATCCAAAAGTGCTGTTGGCATGCTTAAGAATTGATTCCTATTATAAATCAAGTGCAGTTCCAACAATAAATTCACTTGTAAAAGTTTCTAAAGTGGAAGTAAATCTACTGCATCAAGATACTAATGAAAATACATTCCAAAGGTACGAAACCGTCCAAGTTTGTGCTGAATCAATTCAAGTTTTAGGACAGCATTATGATGAGAATTTTGACAATTATGTGATTGAAGGGGCTTTATCAACAGATGTTAAAGACTTTGGATGCAAAAATGTGGTTCCATTTATTAAAACGTTTTATCTAAAAGCTTCCTTGGATCGAAATCAGTCAGACATAAACTTGAATTTAATTACTAGTAAAATTAAAGTTTCATATTCACCAGCTATTGGACATTCGTTGCTGTCAAACTTTTGTTTATGGAAGAACCAAAGCTCAATATCTGAGTATGTTAAGTACACAATATATAACAATACAGCAAATGCAATCAAAGTTAATCAATTTGGGGTGGATGAAATTATTTGCGTACTTCCAAAATCATCAAAATTCTATCATTTCTTTACGGACAAAATAATTCAAACTCTTCAAATTGCTGCATGTATTCAGAATGAGACATGGAGTGAACAGACTGAAGCTATAAATGTACATCATGAAGGAACGCAGTACATAAAATGTGCTGATCAGTACTTTATCATTACGATAAAAGCTATTTCCAATTATCAGCGTAAAATCATAATTGATGGACAAATTTATGTAAGAAATATGACTAAAGAACAGTTTGTTATCCAGTACAAGAGATATGACAAGGATATTGATAACACTGATAAATGTGAAATTCAGGAAGTGGAATTAGATGATCATGGAAGTCGATCATTCTTTGGGGCATGTGAATATGATTCACAACAGACTATGAAGCTACATTTAAGGAAATGTGATAAAAGAATATTTTCTGGGGAGATTCCTTTACGTGAGATTGTTGCTAATAATAAACCTTGGCTCGTTAAAGTTCCTGTAAATTCCAATAACAAATTTATATGTTACTGGGTACGAATAATTCGACAGCTTGTCCAAAACGAACTTTGTCGTGTTCTCATCCTTATTTGTCCTGCATTCATTGCAAGATCTCTATTTCCGTGTGACATAATTTTGACTGAAGATGACACTAAGGATGAATATGAAATTAAAGGTTGTGGTCAATTGACAGAGTTTGAGATGAAAGGAACGCATGAGAATGAACATCGATTGCTATTTCCTGAAAACTACTTACAGCAAGACAAGATATCACCAGCATTCGTGACATTATCATATAATTTGGTGAACAAGAACACATTCTTTAAAATTCCTGATGAGTATTCAGACATTCCAAAAGCTATTGAGAAGCTTGAAGAGAATAAGGAATTTCAATGGCCATGTTCGAGAGATGAAGAGGTGAGTAATTAACTTTATTGTCATTTCTTTGAGCATATATGATAAACATTACAGGAAATAGAGCTATTTTCTTGAGTCAATCTGTGCATTGATCCTTTAACAATTTTCAAATTTTGAAATTTTAACGTTTCTTTACATTTTTAATTTTACTTTGAATTTTTTATAAAATTTTTTTAAGGAATTTGAATTCTAATTTTCCGTTAAATAATCAAAGTCACAAATACCCATCCAACAGCTCTTCATAATCAATATTACAATTCAGTTTTGTTAGATAAATTGAAATGCTGAATCATCTCAAACAACTGCTGATTTATCATGCTTACTACACCTTCCAAGCTGACTATTTTATCTTGATTCTGCTTCAGCACATTCATTAAATCTTCGTCCGTGATATCGCTACAACGATCCGAAATTTCAAGTCTAATTTCAGCAACTTCTTTAAAGCTTTGCACAGCTTGCTTATCAATGCAGATATTTTTGTTGAAATAAGCAGTTCTGAGCTTCTTTAACGGTGTCAATAATTTTGATCCAATGTGCATGAGACGATTATTGTAAAATGAGACATATTCTAGTTCCAAGTTGTCCAGAAATACGTCAGACTGTAGATTCTCTAAATGATTGCTGTACAAATACAAAAATCTCAATTTTTGAAAATCTTTCATGTCGTCCCGTTCCAAATATTTCAATTCATTCATTCCAGCATGAATTGCTTCAATGTTTTTGAAATAGTCTGTAAATCCTCGTGGAAAATATTCCATTTTTTGATGAATTATGTAAAGTTGATAAACTTCATTGTTCTTATCGACTGAGTGTGATCTTTCGTCAGTCGGAGTTAACTTTGTTATGTTTCGATCAGCTTGATTTGTCGTTAAATGTAGCACTGTGCATGTATACACAACTTTCATGTCATCAAATAACAATTCATTGTCAAAAAAGCATTCAATTTCGACACTATTGGATATCTTTATAGCCACAATTAAAGCTGCAATGACACTCAAAAGAAATTTCATTCTGTTTTTTTATCGCTACTTTTGAAAACTCGGAACTGTGTCACTGAAACGTTCTCGTGATACTAAATAAGAGAACAAACGCAAAAATGAGATTAACTAGTTATGTTTAATCAAATTTATTAAGCTACATGCTCATCATATAAAATGTCAGCTGCTTTATAAGAGAATGAGAATTTATACTTTTGATATATTTCATATCATGTTGCTGAGAGTCTAGAATGTATTTATTGTATGGTTACTTTCTTATTAATTAGGGATTAGTGATATATTTTAAGATTAAACAATATGATTTTTTTACGTTTCTTAAACATTTGAACTTAAACGGTTTTCAAAAAATTGAATTTTAGCTGATTGAAAGTTTGAACCTTAACTGTCCGTTATATATTTTAATTTAAAAAAAAATTGTTTTTTAATCAAATCACGCTATTTATTCATTCGCTGCTACTTACATAATTATATCCCAATGTTTTTCTCACATTATGTAAAAATTATTTGGATACTCTCTTATCAAAACATGCTTAAAATTCTATTAGAATGACTTAGTAATTTTTGAGAATTATACTTAAAAGCACCACCAAAATGAACGTAATTAAATTTATAGTATTTACATGTATGCTGGTTCATGTGAATTGTATATTAATCGATTGCAAATTTGGAGATGAAATTATTCATAATTGGGGTGTAAGATATTCATGCAAAGTCAAAAAGTTCGATATTAAAGAAGACAGTAAGATAGTTCAAGGGATATCAGGTGTTCATCACAATGAATCCATGAGCAACGCTAATATAACTCAATTTTTAGCTAAAGGATTAAAAGTCGAGCAAGTAAATATAGTACATATAATCATGTCAATTTCATTTCTAAATCTAACTTATTCTCTTAAAATCTAGTTTCCATTCGGATTGGGCAAAAACTTTATCAATTTGGAAGTGCTACGCATTACATCCTGTGACCTAAAATCTGTCCACAAAAATCAACTAAAAGATTTGACTAAAATTAAGTATATCGATTTATTAGGCAACAGAATTGAAAAGCTTGAGTCAAACGTATTTGAGTACACCCCAAATTTGTTGGAAGTCATGCTTAATAATAATAAAATTAAGTTTCTTGGCTTGGATATTTTAACACCGCTGAAAAAGCTTAAAAATGTTAATTTTGGTGGGAATTTATGTATTGTTGGGAGTGCTAGAAATGGTGAAGAATTCGATCAATTAAGGATTGACATGAAGTTAAAATGTAGCGATATCAGCATGTATGATTTGATGCTTAAAATGGACATACTTGAGAGCAAAATTGAAAGAGTTTTGCAGATCATGCAAAAGTTTGAGAAGAAATTTGATTAACAGCACACACTTATCATACATATTCAGAACCTTCCCATACCCATTCATTCTTGACTTAATCCCAAACATATTTAATTTCATTATTTAGCATCAGATTGAGAGGAAATTTGCCATGAATGAAAAGATTACAACATTGTATGAATTATCGTCACACGAACTAGACGGCTTATGCTGTTCCTTAATGCTAACAATAATTCCATCGTGCATCTTCATCAATTCTTCTGGAATAAGGATCAAAATCATCAACTGTGTTACTAATGAGGAGTTCTTTTTAGAATCAAATTATGTGACGATTCCGTTTTATATTGAAGTAAGTACACTAAATACCATAAATCTACGACATACGCCATGTTTCACTAAAGTGGATTATCCTCGATTTCGGATTATCCACTTCAGTTTTTTGGAAATATCTACAGACGCTTAAGGTTATTAAGAGATCTAATGTGTGATCTAATTAGAGTACTTTGCTTCTTAAATTAACATACACTTAGAATTTTTATATCTTCATTAGTTTGAGAATTATAGCAAAAATCGAAGTTAATATACTAGATTTGGCTAGAAAATTAAATAATTAATACTTCTTAACGAAAAGTTAAAGTTTAAAGTATATTGAAATTTCAGGCATTATAATCTAAAATTAGAAATACCACACCTCCCATAAAGTTTAAGATATTTGCAAAAAAAAACTGAAGAGGATAATCAAAACTCGAAGATAATCCTTTTTAGTGGAACAGGCCGTAAGATATTTACAAAAAACTGACGTGGATAATCCGAAATCGAGAATAATCCACTTTAGTGAAACAGGCCGATAATGTTTTGAATTTTAACACTCACAGGACAGCTTCATGATAAGTCTGTACATAAGTGATGAATGGATAAAAAGTTCTCCAATATTCCTAAATGACAGCACGAAAAAGAAGCATTCAAACAGCTATGATATACCAACAGAAGGACGTACAGTAATAAATGTACATTACGGAGCAGATACCACTCAATTATTATTAACATCAAAGTCTAAGGGAAAGCGAAGGATTGTGTACATTAGTTCTATTCTTACAATATCCAATTATTCATCCTATGAACTTGGTGTGATTCCGTTTTGTGTCGATAATAACGAAAAGATTGATTACTGGAAGAAGAATGAGTTTCCAACAAGGAGATACGTCAAACTGCATAAGAATGAAAAGGATACAACCCATAAAATTGGAAATCCAGTATCAATTTATTCAAATATCGCTAAAAATAAAGCATCAAGAAAGCATGGAACAGTTTTTATGTCATTCATTATGGTATGCAATGCATTAGAAGAAGGTGAATTTTCATGTCCTATAAAGATCCAACAGACGTTAAGGAAGTGCATAAATATCCATTATGAAGGTCAAAGTCAATCAATATGCATTTCCATTTTAAAGCACGCCGAGCAGTATTTTGTATCAATTTTTAATGATTCAAAGCCAATGTTGAGTATTATTAATAATACAGACTTTAATCTGTATGTAGCACAAACTGATGTTAAGCATCAATCATCAAAGCATATTTTACCGCATCGAGAAATTGCTGATGACAGATTTACTTGGTATCAAGTAGTTAATTCTAAGCAGAGTGTCTTCTATTCACCTCCAATATTTAATGAATTCTTCCCAGAAATAATGAGTCATGATTATGGCTTAATATTTGCATGTGTTTGTGGAGATGAAATAATTCGATGGTCAATTCCTGTAAAGATTGATGAGACAAAGAAAATTATCATTAATGTTCCCATGTTTGGAGATTTAAAGCTATTAGTCGATATGAAGAAAATAACATCAGAAGTATCAATAAATTACATCGATTCCGATGAAGTTACGTCTGAAAGTTCATTTGAAAATTCACAGCTCATGATGTTCAATGACAGTATAACTAGGAAAGACTTTAAAACATTCAGCATATCAAGAAAAAGGAACCAGTCGATACATTTAAATTTAAATATGTACGTTGAAGGTGTGAATTTAATGATATCGAAAGATGATGCCGATAAGAGGCTTGACTTGATGTCGTTAAGTGTCGATGAGATTTTGACAAACTACTCGAAAAGTTCGAGGAAGCTTAAGGTTAATTTCTCTAAAATTCAAATAGACAATGAACTTTTTCTAACAGGAAAATTCGATTTTCCTGTTTTATTGTGTAATAAGGAAATGCCAAAGACACATACTGATAAACTCAATCTTCCAAATGTATCAACATGGGATGTTTATGACATTATTCAAAAGCATCAGACAAACGAAAAGTTCTCAATCGATATCGATTTTTATGAGTCAGACAAGCATGTGAAAAATGTTTTGATCAACTTACTTCCAATAAGGATATACATTGAGGATGGATTTATTCATACAGTTTTGGAATTAGCAGACGAATGTGTACCTCATAATTTTGTGTTTGGGAAGGAAAAGGCTATTCCAAAGATTACTCTTCCTGATAATCTTGTATTAGTTCCTAATATGATTGTCATTCAGTCAATGCAGCTTTCCGAGCCAATAAGACTTCATTCGTTTAAATTAGAGGCTGTTCATGTTCTGTTGTCGGTTCACACCTGTAAACATCTCTATATAGGTAAGCATCGTTATAATAAGAATTTAAATTTCGATCCTTTGGATTTATATGTTTGATTAATTTTAAATCTGATGGATTTATACACGGATTAAATTCAAATGATTTATTAACACTCCTACTTTAATTCATGATTTCAGCTCTCGATCACAGTCCACTCGACTTCTCAGCCTACGAAAAATTAAACATTTATACAATCCCAATGAAACTTGGGAGCAACTTTGGAATGCATTACGTTTCATCGGCAATATTCGGAGCTGGATGGGTTGTTGGATCTCTAGAAATATTAGGAAGTCCGAGTGGCTTAGCGAGATCATTTACAAGTGGTGTTAAAGATTTTGTATCGATGCCAATTCAAGGAATTTTTAAAGGTCCATTTGGATTCTTTGTTGGCTTAACTCAAGGATCAGTGTCGCTTTTTAGGAACGTGACAACAGGAACATTAAATAGTGTTACAAAACTTGCAAATTCAGTAGCAAGGAACCTTGATAATTTAACGATGGACAATGAACATATTTATTTGAAAACTGACACTTTAAGGCGTTCTCGACCTCAGGGATTTACTGATGGATTACAACTAGGATTGACTGGTTTTGGAATCAATATTTTGGGTGCTATTGGTGGTTTATCAAGGCATCCTCTTCAGGCTAAAAATGTTGTAGACGTTTTTACTGGCGTCGGTAAAGGATTAATTGGTGTTATCACGAAGGTATGCTTACTAATTCCTTTACATTTCATGTTACTGACTATCTTTTATTTTTAGCCAATTTCTGGAATAGCCGAATTAGTTGCCTTTATGGGCAGCGGTGTGCTTCAAAGTGTTGGATATAATATACTTCCAAATCCATTAAATCAGGATATTAGACATGACTTTTCTGTGCCAAATGCTGAGAAAATTATTAGCACACAATTACCACAATTTGCAGCAGATCCAATCGTACTTACATGTAGAGCAACTTATGTTGACAAGAATGACCTTAAATATGCTTTCCTGATTCTGAACACAAAATCCTTGACTATTGTTGACTTAGAAAAAGATTCTGTGCTTGATGTCCACATGTTGGTGAATATATCACCAATATCACATAAGGCACAGTCATCGCCTGACAACTTATTCGTATTTAAATTGAAGAAAAAGGAGACAGCAGAAGCTGACAATATTGAGGTAAGATTTTGATTAGAGGACATTTTTCAATGACATTCATTAAGCTACTATTTTGAATATTCCAGAAGTATCATGTGTCAAAACGGACAGTCCTTTACATTAAACAACTATCGAATCAGCACTTTGCAGAAAACCGATCATTTAATGAAGAAAATGAAGACGATAGCGACGGAATGAATGAAATTGAGAATCACATGACAAATGCAAGGAACGACGGTAAAATTTCATTTTATGTAGACCAAACCACAGGAAAATATCTTCAAACTTACATTTCTCTAATTAAGCATCAAATTTCTGCTAAAGAAAATTCCTTTCCATTATTTGAAGACGTAAAATCATAAATAATCTATTCTTATGTATGATATGCAGAATATTCGAAGCAAAAAAAGGGTATTTTAAAAAAGTCATTCAAACTATTTAATAAATTTATTAAAATTTCATTTATTTATTAATCTCCACGTTGATTAATGTATATAAACTTTACTGAGTCTACTTTATGTGCTATGGTAACTTTATGGCATGAAACTCATACATCGTATCCATAATAAGGCGCTTCTAAGTAGGCTCGATGCATGTCTGTGGAATTTCTACGAATTCTTCTTCCAATCGGTTCTAAATCGTTGTAGCATTTTGGAAATACTCGATCAATAGCAGCTAGTGCTTCCTCAGCAGTAACCTAAGACATTAAAATTACAAGATTAATCTGAACGTTAAATTTAAAGTCATCGGATTTATTTTAATTCTGAGAAAGATTTAACTCAAATGCAAAATTAAATCTGAAGATTTAACATAAATCCACAATGAAATCCTAAGTCGTACCTTTCGAACAGCTAACACAGAGCACAAAGCCTTCGTTTTCACACAGTTTTGATGTGCCTTTTTTATTCTAAAGATTGAAGCATCGCCTTGAATCATGGCTGACATGAAGGAACAATGTGTCAAGTTTGCAGCTCTAATTTCCGTACATGCTAGATGATCAATGTTCTTAAAGTCCAAGTCATTATTACAATAATCAAACATGTGAATCATTTCATGAGTAAGTACGCCTTGAACTAATCCTTCATTTTTAGCTACATTCTGACAAACGACAATTTGATTAAGCATAGGATCGTAGCCACCAGAGACTGAATAGTCGCATGCTTCACATGAAATATGCCTTCTGATATCAATAGCACATCCAGAGGACTTTAGTGCACCCATCATTAATTTAACCATTGGCGATTTATTTATGCATTTCCATACATTCTGTTCACATTTGAATTTATCTATGTTTTCAGTTCCTTCCTTTCCCATAAAGATATTCTTCAAGGTTGTTTTGTACGTTTCATTCCTTCTCTCAGGATATAAGTCATAGCCCTAAAAATTATTGATTGAATTAGTAAGTTTTGAACTATGGATGTATGAATTAGAACCGGTATCAGGAACAAAAGCTCAGTATCTATTGTATGACTACAAAAGATTCAATTTAGACAGCAGTTCTTACAAAAACAATCAGATCTTAATTCAACAGGCTCAACTAAGCATGCTAAAATCAAACTGTATATTCATGATTGTACCATGATTTATGTTGAGTAATATGCAGCATAAAAAATGTGAATTAACTTTCTTACCCATTTCTTATCTTCCTTTTTTTGTTCATCTCTATTAAAGTTTTTAATGTTTTCATCGCTGACTTTTGTAAAGTCTGGTGCACTTTCCTTCGTCTCTGCCATTTCCAAGTGCTTTAATTAATCACTTTTTCATAATCATGAATTTCATTCAAAAATGTAAATACCTAGTGCTGTGCTAAAAGTCAAGTCTGTACTAAAGTTTTAGTACACAAATTTGATGCGAAAAATATTTCATAATAAAACTACTTTTCGCTGATTTAGATGATATTTAGCTATTCCTAATAGTGGTTTAATTAATAAATACGTAGTGCAAGTGATAAAGAAGCAGATAAACTTCCGGATAATTCAATAATTAATGATAATAACGTGAAAATTGACAAAAATCAAAATATAAATTCAGTAGTGAGGTTAAAAAAGGCAAAAAAGTAATTAAAAATGTTTGGAGCACAAAAAAACACTTTCGGTCAAGCGACTTCAGGAAGTTTTTTTGGTCAGAGTGCATTCGCTAAGCCGACAAATACATTTGGAAATAATACTTTCGGTCAACAGAATCAGACAGTTTTCGGCGCACAGCAAACAACTGGAGTAGGTGGAGGGCTTTTTGGATCTACTCCTCAGCAACCGACTCCTGCGCCACAATCATCATTTGGCGGTAAGTATTTACTAATATGCCTTAAAAAAGATACAAATAAAGTTTTTAAAATAACTTAAGGATTTGGACAGCAAACATCAATTTTTGGACAGACAAGTACAACTGGAACTACATCATTGTTTGGCAGTCAACCAGCATCAACATTCGGAGCACCTAAACAGATGTTTGGACAGCCACAACAACAACAGCAGCAGCAAGCTGCTCCATCACTTTTTGGACAGCCTCAACAGCAACAAACATCATTATTTGGACAAACAAGTCAGCCTGCAACTGGATTATTTAGTACCAGTACACCATCAGCATTTCAGCCAGCAGGAACACAACAGACTGGAACGGCTATTGCAAAATTTCAGCCACAACAAGAAACTGATACTTTATTAAAAGGACAAACAACATCTTATGTACAGACAAAGCAACAATGTATTACGTTTATGAAGGAATATGCTGAAAAGTCATTAGAAGAATTGAGATTTGAAGATTATTCAGTTAATAGAAAAGGACCTCAAGCAGGAAATACTCCAGGACTTTTTGGAGGACAACAAACTAGTAGTGTTTTTGGAGTTCCTCAAACTTCTCAACCTGCTGCATTTGGATTTGGACAACAACAACAGCAGCAGCAGCAACAACAACAACCTCAAGCTCAACCATTATTTGGTTCAAATCCAATGAGTACACCAACTTCAGCTTTTGGACAGACAAATAATAATACAGCATTTTCAAATAATTTATTTGCAAAGCCATTGGGTCAAACGCCAGCCACAACTGCATCAACTTTTGGTGGATTCGGAACTAATACAGCAGCTAGTACATTTGGAGTTGCAAAACCAATGTTTGGACAGCCTGCACCGACATCGGCTCCTAATCTTTTTGGACAGCCATCAACAAGCACTTTTGGAAGCACTTCATTCGGTCAACCGACTACATCATTATTTGGAACGGCAGTGACACAAGCATGGAATTCTACGGCACCAACATCGACGGCTACTAACACTCTTTTTGGTGGAAATGCTGCAAAACCTTTTGGCACATCGACATTCGGAACTGCTCCTTCGACATTCGGTACTCAGCCACAAACTTCTACATCTGCTGGATTTCCGTTCGGTCAACAAAATACAAGCAGTATATTTGCTCAAAAACCAGCACAAAACAGTTTTTTTGGGGCTCCGGCACAACAGTCTACATCTACAAATGTTACGTTTGGTCAAAATCAAACTACTGGAGGCTCATTGTTTGGTCAAGCAGCTCAGCAAAGTGGAGGATTATTTGGATCTTCACAAGTTCCTAACACAAATACTGGTGGACTATTTGGATCTAATACAACGAATGCATTCGGAACGAATATGGGAAATCCATTTGGCACACAACAACCATCACTTTTTAATAAGTAAGTAACTTTACACTTTTACCGGTTTATATTTATTTAAAATTTTTTGAACTTATAATTTGAATGTGAAATGTTTGTTAAAAACAATTTTCTTTTCTTTTTCATTGGTATAGTCAACAAACATCAATGCAGCCTCAACAGCAGGGGACTGAGATTCATCAAAAGATTATTGCACTGACTAGCAATCCATATGGAGATAGTGAGCTTTTTAAAGGCTTAAAGCAAAGTTCAATCTCAGATGATGCATTAAAAGCAACAAATCCAATTGCTCAAAAAGCTTTATTGGAATCAAGTAACAATTATAAAATTTCACCAAATACGTCAGCATCAAAGATAAGAGTTAAGCCAGTCACGACAGTAATTACAAAGAAGAGCTTATTTGATGGATTAGAGGAATATGATGCATCACTAGAAGAAAGTTTTACAGTTAAAACGAATCCAAAGCGTTTAATTATTAAGCCACGATCATCAGTTGTTCCTGATATGAATAGAACGAATGATGCAAGTTTGATTAGAACTAGAGAAAGTATAAAGATTGTTGAAAAAGAGAACAGCATGCCAATTGAAACTTTCCAGAATCAAATTCCATTGACTCAATTTAATGACATTGTTGACCAAGATACAGATCGTCGTGTTTCATGGCTTAAAACAGCACCACAAACAATTCGTTCACGTCCAAATTTGAGGGAAATTTCAGCAGACACGACTATTAATCAATTAATACAGTCGTCAGGCAAGGATAGTGAAGTAACACCGCCTGCAAAACTTGATTCCTCAGCAATTAATGCATCAATATTAAATGAGTCGTTCCATTCGAATGATGACTTTACGAGTGAAAATGATGTGTCAATTATAACTGGAAATTTAGAGCCACATCCAACAGGAGTTGTTTTAAGACGTGCTGGATATTACACAATTCCCTCATTAGATGAATTAATTGAGTATATAGACGAAAATGGTCAGTGTAAAGTTCCAAATTTTACAATTGGACGACGTGGATATGGAAATGTCTATTTTGATGAGGAAATTGATGTAGCTGGCATGAATCTTGATGAGATTTGTCACTTTCGTAATAAAGAAATCATTTTGTATCAAGATGACGATAATAAGCCACCCGTCGGTGAAGGATTAAATAGAAAGGCACAAGTTACATTAGATCAAATTTGGCCACATGACAAGCATACACATGATCCAATTAAAGATCCCGGTCGTCTTGAAGCTATTGACTATGAAGGCAAGATGAGAAGAATTTGTGAAAAACGAGGAACGAAATTTTTAGAATATCGTCCAGAAACTGGATCTTGTGTCTTTAAAGTTGATCATTTTTCAAAATACACTTTAGATGATTCTGATGAAGAAGGCGAGCCACGAGTTGATCCTAAGAAAGCTCGTATAACTCCTTTAACAAATCTTCCAGGAGCTAAAATGCCGATGCCTGAAAAAGAAAAATCTACTGAAATTCAGCAGGAGGCACCGTTAAGAATGAAGCAACAAGAGCAAACATTCATTCTTGGACCTCATTTGGGACAAAAAGGATTTCAATCTAGTAAGATATATCCATTAATTTAATTAATGATGCTCTAGTGCGTTTTTGCAATATATTTTTTGAATTAACGAACTTTTCAAAATCAAATTTATTATTGACTGTTGGATTTAATTATTTTTTAAATTTTAAAAATCCGTTAAAAAATTGAATTAAATAAAATTAAACTTATTCCTGTAAAAATGCACTATTTATTAATTCCATTAACTCATTCTTTACTCTTTTCCATCACAGACTTCAGCATGAACTTTGAAGATTCTTTTAGTCAAGAACCAACAAGTCCATCAATCAAATTAGCCAAAGAAATGCAAACTGATACTCACAAATTGCAATTAATGAAAGCTTCATTTTTCGTCGAGGATGATTATGAGACACAATCAATTATGAGTGATGCAACAGAAGGACGTGAAAGTCCAGATCAAATTGTTCCATCGACATTAATTCAAAAAAGTGCATTTGCATCGACTGGATTTTTATTATCAAAGCCTACAAGGACACATGAGGAAGAACTTATCATGTCTGGTTCTGAATATTCCGATCATGTTGAAAAGACTGTAGAACCAAGACGTCAAGAGCTTATTAAAACGGAAATTCTTAAATCTATTGGACCAAAGTCACAGCCATTAATTGTTCGTCCACGAGTTATGCTATTTGACATTAGTGACATAAACTTGCCATCTAAGCAGTCAATACTTAGTGATGTTATCGAGAAGAAGAATAATACAGTTCCGTTCTTTAATGGAAGAAGATTTAAAGTTTGCTGGACACATAATAATCAATTTACAACCTTAAGTTCAAGTTCATCAAACTCAGTATTTGATGGACGTTCTCAAAATGATTTCACTAAGACTGTCATCAAGAGGGCACAGATTAAGTCAATGTTCCATAATACAAATGAAAATTTCAAGAAATCAACGATTGAGCATTTAAAGATCCAGTTGAAACACAATAAGAGAATCAATGATTATCGAGAATCAAGTGGAGGAACTACGGCATTAAGAGAACATTTTGAAATGTCATTAAAACTTGCCAAAGATCATGCAGATGATAAAAATAATTTTGACTCAACAATTTGGTCATTAATGGAATCACTTTGGGGGCATGTAGAAGATATAAATATGGATGCACAAGATCATACAAGTATTATGGTTAGAAGAGATCTTTTATCGTCGTGGTGTGAGAATGTTGTCACCGACAACGATGCATTAAAGTCTAATCAGGATTATTTGGATCGTTTAATTAATTTAATGATGTGCCATAAAGTAAATGATGCATGTGATTTGGCATTCGAGAATAATGACATAAATTTAAGCATGTTGATTGCACAGTCTAGTGGAAGTATATCATGTAAACAATTGATTCAACATCAGTTGTCATGTTGGCGTCAAGTTGAGGCTGATGAATTTATGGATGAGCGTCGATTAAAGATTCTTATGATGATTGCTGGAATTCCGGCAATGGAAGGTCCAAAAAATACGACATTGAATGTCTTTGAGGATTATAACTGGCTGAAATGTTTAGCACTACAATTATGGTACATTTCATCTTGTGTCTCATCAGTTACTGATTCTATTCTGGCATATGAACAAAATTCATTAAATGAGGATGCAAATGTTGCATTGCCAGTTCCTTCATACTATAAATCTGAAGATTCAATGAATTGCAAATTTTATGATATTCGATTCCATTTAATGAAATTGTACAGTCAAAGAAGTCATTCATTGGAAGTGCTTTTGAATCCAGCAAATTACACTAAAGACTTGATGGACTATCGTTTATCATTTTTCGTCCTGCAGATCTTAGAAACTCTTGGATATCATCATATAAGCGAATCGTGTCGTCTTAAAATTTTAACATCATTTGCTGATCAATTAGAAACTAATGGACTGTGGGAATGGTCAATATTTGTTATGCTGCATATTGCTGAACAAAATTACAGGGAAAAGGCAATTCATCAGCTGCTGTATCGTTATATTAAAATTGATGATGAGCTTAATAGTGAATATTCAGCAAAGGAGAAGTTTATACTTGAAGATTTAGGAATATCTGAAAAATGGATATTTTGGGCAAAATCTATTCGTGCACGATCATTAAATAACCATCAAGTTGAACTCAAATATTTACTTAAAGCACAGCAGTGGTCGCAGGCGCATGATGTTTTAATGAAACATATTGCACCAGATTTATTGATTAATGATCAAATTGATTACTTGAAGTCACTGCTTAAACAGTTTGAGAATACTAAGGAAATTCAGCATTGGAAGGTTCAAGGACAAATTTTACTCAACTTTATTGAACTGAACGAAAGTGTGAGTATTTTAATGTCTTTTTTTAAATTTAAATTGTAACGTTTTTATTGGAATTGAATTTTTTTTTAAACTATTGAACTCCGTTTTTTGAATTTTAAAAATCCGTTAATTTCTGAATGAAAAAATAAATAATTTTTATTTTCTACAGTTTTCATCGCTTAATACTGCGGTTAATATAGACGAAGATCAGTTCCTTCAACGACTTAGTCCTTTATTATCAGACTTGTGCTCGAGTATCAAATTATTCCCATGTCCAACATCAAAACATCGTTTATGTCAATGCGAAATAGCAAAGCAGTTAGCATTCATCATTAGAAATTTCTATGCAACATCCAATGCTTATGGAAATCAAGCATTCTCAATGATAAGGACAGCACTAGAGAAATTGCCACTTCCGCAAGAGTTTGCACAACAAGAGCTAAGACACGTGTTGGCAACCTTCTTAATGGAAAGATTAACAACAAATTAAATAATATAAATCAACCGATCCTAACTCTTATTACTTATTATTAATTATCATTACAAAATAATAGATATTAATTAAGTTTCTTCATCTTTTTAAAAAGAAAATATGATAAAAAAGTTTGCAAAGCGCTTATTGTTTCCAAAATGTTTCTGTTCGACATACAATTATAATCTATTAGCGTTAATTAAATAAACTTCTTATGGTTTAAACAATTTATTTTTTCCAATAAAGTCATATCGACAAAAAATTATGTGACTTTTTATTCTCTTAAATATTCATCCACAGACAAACAGTCGAATTTTAAGTTTTTCAGGGATAGATTGCGACAAGTTACAAACAGCATTGAATGACAAACATGTTTTTCTTCTACGGGAATATAGCTACTTGCTGTGTAAACATTTTCTAGGTGGTGGCACAGTTTCTATTTGAAGCTATTAAGTGTTGATGATTTTTAATAAATTAAAACTTTTTGATAACGGCAAAAATTGAAATGAGAATCCTACATGTGATCTATTATATTGTGTATGGTACAAAACATGTAAATGAGCATGTCACAAAGCTATGGCAAGAAGAATGGAATGAGGAAATCAGAAACGGAAATAAATTAGGAAACATCAAAAAAACATGTAAGAAATGGACAAATATTGACACATATAAAAGAAAAGACCAGACAGTACTGACAAGACTTAGAATTGGACACACAAATCTAACACATATACATCTTATTGAAAAAACTTCTCCCCCAATATGCACATGCACCATCCCACTTACAGTCAGACATATATTTGAATGCACAAACAATCAATCAGCTATTTCAAAATTTAATATCAGTTACAAAACACTTGAATTAGACGAAAAAGATGAAACAGACAACATTTTAAACTTTTTAAAAGAAATTAATATTTACGACAAAATCTAACACCAAAACACATAATATCCTGTATTGCAGTTCGTATTTATAAAATTAAAAAACATGTGAAACATATTTGGAATTGAAAATGGTCTTAAAATTTATTAAAAAGGACCTTAATAAAGATAATTAAGAAGAAGAAGAAGAAGTATTGTGTATGGTGAGTTTTCTCCCAACCTCCGAATGAGGAGGTTGTGGAATTGTGCAATACTTCAAAATTAATTAATTACGCGTAGGAATAAGTCACAAACCTTCGGGAACTGTCTTCAAAGTAACAAAGAACAAAGATACCAAGGAGAAAACTCAGCAAAGTCGCGATTTAATTAAATTTTGGATATAAATTGAAATTGGAAAAAAAAAAAAAATGTGCAAATTTTGAACATAACCTAGATAAAACGGAATTGATCATCATCGGAATACCAACGAACATTTAATTACATTGACAAATCACGATCGGCGGCAGTTGTGAGGAGAATCAATTGTTTCACGTGGGTTTTTTGTGTTTTACCAACAATCGTGGACAAGAAGGTTCTATCATAACCATAACCTAGACATTGAATATTATTGGAATACAACGGAATATCGTCAATTGTGAGGAGAATTTGTCTCGCGATGGGTTTTGTGTGTTTCCCCATATATCGCGGGCAATTCTATCAATCAATTGGTGCTGACTGGATTTCAACAAATCAACATTAACAAACAGGAGTCGATCATCTCGGAATACAGCAGATCATATTAATTAAATTGACAGATCACAATCGAGACATAAGAAAAAATTGAATCTATTTGGAATATCACAAGTTAAATTACAAGGACTGTCAAGGGATCTGGATCATCGACAACTGAAGATGGAATTTTTTGCTTAACGATGGTTTTTTGTTGTTTTGACCTATCGCGGGCATGTTTTCTGTCAACCATTTGGAGTTGACTGGATTTTATTGATTGTTCTTTGTGTATATTTGTAAATTAAACTACCTGGAATTGTAAACGGTCTTTAAATAGCAATAAGCTGATGGACCATAATAAAGTTAATTAAGAAGAAGAAGAAGAAGTATTGTGTATGGTTTTAAAGCATTTGTTGACATTTGTATGGTTTCAAAAACAGAAACATTTTACAGCTTTAAATACTGTTTTTAAAAACATTTGTATGGTTTTTGAACATTCGAATATTTGCATGGTTTTCGAAATTCAAACTCTAGAAAACCGTTATTTTTGAATCAAATTTTATGCCATAGTTCCATAGCACAAAAGTTACCAAACACTGAAAGACAGCATTACATGAAAAGAAAAAAATATGCTAATACACAGGAAAACGAAAATGAAATTGGACCAAAGAGTTTAGTATTGTTTCGGTTGCCGTGAAATAAAGTCGAACTTAAAGAAAGCCCCACAAGCAGCTCAATAACTGGCTCTCTGTTTCACAATTATTGTATTTTAATACATATTCCACGAAAATGCCAACAGTAAGTGAGATTTAATGGCAATAAAGAGATTTAAAGACTTCTCACGCGAAACTTGAGTCATGCGAATTTTTACGCACTTTGATGCACGTGATCAACATTAATTTACAATTCACTGCGATTGATTAGCATAAATTTAAAAATGTTCGTGAATTGATTAGATGACTTGAAGAAGAGTTATGAACGAAAGTGTATTTGCAATATATAGAAATTATGAATTGCTTACCGAATTGCTTTTTGTGTGATCAAGAGTAGATGTTAGAGTTGCACAAACATAATTAAAGTTAAAGCCACAAATTCCTTGGCACTTAGATGCACATTAAATTAAAGTTCAATTTTCTGAATACGTTAAATTTTTAAGGTTCAATATTTGAATCTTTCAGAACCGCTAAGATTTTAATGAAAAAACTGTTAAAGTTCAAAATTCAAAAAGCTTTTCAAGTTCAAATTTTATAAAACCGTTAAATTTAAAATCTTAAAATTTCGTTATATTTATCAAAAATTCCGAAATCAAACTAGTGATATCTAGTCCAAATTTCATAAAGTCAAGGTTGACGGAAGTACCATTGAACTCAAAATGTTTAGATGCTTTAATAATATATGAGATTAATTGCTTAAGATTAGATAAATCTTCAAAACGTTAAGTCAGTGTTAAATCCGCACATCATAATCAGCATAATCTCATAAATTTCTCTTATATCTAATTAATTCCGGTGAAACGGAATTGCAATAGTTTTCATACGTTTAACATGTGCTCTTGCGAGATTTTCAATTAAAATGTCAGGCAATGAACCGTAAAAAAATATTTGTAGCCCCAAAACAAACCAGTTTTTGAGATTTGACAGTTGCCATTATCCAGCATCTTCTGAATAAAAATGTCATTGCACACTTCTGTAGGAAATTAGCATAATCCAAATGCTGCCGCAAACGAGAATAACAACAACTACAAAACATCTCGTTTAGATCACTCGAAAAAAACAATAAACTGATGGACGACAAAAATATTAAGCACTGCCAGTGAAAACAATAAGCCTGCCCTAATTATGTATTCAACATTTCATGCAATAACTTAGTTCATGCTTTATAAATTTTTTTGTTTAAATTAAATAATGCGTAACTTGTTATAGTTGTCTCTTACCCTTTTGATACATACCTTAAAATGACTTAACATGACTTTTTGTGTGCGTCGTGAGAATAAATTTGGGTTTGTGGATTTCAATGTCATTATCGTTCAAATGTTGTAATGGATCAAGCATTAATGGAAAAGATGTGTCATTAATCAATAGATCTCAATGTGAAATGAATATCTAAATTACAGCTTTATGCTGTTAATTACTTTTGAAAATTTATCAGTTAAAATAAATTCAAATATCAAAACCATACAAATGATATAAATTTTGAAACATTTATGAGGTTCTAAGCATTTACACAAAATTAAAAATCTTAATTTAACGGCACTTAAGCATCAAATTACTCTATGCAAATGAGTGCTTGTCACTTTAAAACATGAAATAATCAAGATACGAAAGATTAAAAGAGATCCAGTCTTGTATTTAGAAATATTTTAAAGATCCAGTCAAAATGAAAATGTCATCCACAAATATGCTTTAAATCCAAAATATACAGCATAAACAACCACAGTTGCATAATATCTTTTCACTTTTCATTCATGCAGCCACACAAAAAGAATTTGACACCCATTGATGACTATAAATTCGAGCTGTCAAAAGAGCTTGAGGAAATGGCAAAAGAGGAACTGCGTGAAACTGAGGAAATACGTCAATATGCGATTAAAGCTCTGAGGGATTTTATAATGAAGAATGAAAAGATTATTTTGACTAGAATGGATGCAAAGTTCTTATTAAGATATCTGCGATTCCGTAAATTCAGTGTTCCTATGGCTGAGGAAGCAATTGAGAGGCTTTTAGCATTAAAAGTGGGTTCTTATGGTAATAATTGGATGAATAATTTAAACATAGAAAAGCCATCAGTTCTTAAACTACTTGAAGCCGGGTAAGTCCAGTGAAGTGTGCAAAAAAGTCAATGTCAAATTTAAATCAAGTCACTCAAATTAATTCCAGCTTTATATTTATACTACCGGAACGAGACTACATGGGAAGATTAATTATATTTTATAGACCAGGCGTATCAAATGCTAAAAGTCCAACAGTTGGATATGACATCCTTATATTGACTACATTAGTTTACGAATATTTACTTGAAGATGAAGAGAATCAAATTCGAGGTGTCGTACACATTGGCGATGCCAAAAATGTCGGAATGTCGCACTTTACAATCTTTTCGCCTCAATTTATGTGCCGAGTTGGAAAGAACACTGAGGTAGTTACTTAAAATTCAGCATCAATCTTTTTATACTAATATTAGTGTCTAATTTATTATCTAGAAAACCCTACCGATGAGACACAAAGCTTTCCACATAGTCAACGTGCATAGGTCAATTAATTTCATTAGTGATGCAATTTTAAGTCGCATGGGTGAGAAACTGAAGAAACGAGTACATTTCTATTCAAGTTTCAATGAGTTTAAAGCAATCGATCGATCAATGCTGCCTAAGGAGTATGGAGGAACAGTTTCAATGTCCAAAATGATTGGTAAGCTTTATTCTTGTGTAAAAAAACCGTTAAAATTCAGATTTTTTTTATCAACACGTGATTTTTGAATTTTAACGGTTTTTAATGGAAATTTTGAAAATCAAATTTCTACAAAAAAAAAACAGATGATATGAAGCAGAGATTAATGAGGAACCATCAGAATGGTCTCCTTTATAATCAAATGCGAGCAAATCCGGAACAATATCCACGTGCTGTTTTGGAAGGGTCTGTAAAGTCACTACATTACGCACTGAATTCAACTGAAATTTTTGAGAAATTTAATGACGACATTTATGGACTACAAGGAAGCTTCAGGAAATTGGAAATAGATTAAACATGATAATTCATAACTATTTATTATCATTTAATTAGTTTATAAGGTCTTATGTGTAACAAATTTTAAGGTTTACTTAATTTAATTAATTTTTCTCTTTTTTATGCAAAATAAATCTTTTTTTATATCCAATAATGTGAATTAATTTAAAAATTTCAATTAATTTCTTTATTTATGTTATTTTTTTCTTTCATTACATCTTCCGAGAAAGCAGTTTAAGAGTTCTTCATATTTTTTTTCTCTTATTTAATATGAAATAAAGAATATTTATAAACTAAAGTCAAGTGACAGAAAAAAGGGGTGATTTGAAATTGAAAAGATAAGAAAAAAATGTCCAGAAAAAAATCCTTAATCATAAAGCCATATTATAGGTGTGTGTGTGTGTTTGGATGTGTAAATAATTTTACTACTGTTGTAGATTTAATGATTGAAATTGCTCTGATGATAATTCTGTGACCATAAGATTTCCGTCGGGAAGCATCAACACGACCTTTCTTGTTCCGCCTATAAAATAAAAATTATTTACATTAGTTGAAAATTTAAGCATGCATTTAGTACAAAGTTCAAAATAATTTGAACTTAGTCTGAAGTTCAAAAATTTTAACTGTCATATTGAATTTGAATTCAGTCTGAGGATCAAAAATTTAAGATGTCAAATTGAATTTAATCCTGGATTAATAACTAATCTCTCCGATTTGAAAGCTTAATCGTGGATTAAAAATTAATCCAAAGTTTAAAAGTAATTAAAGCTAGTCAACGAAGAAATGACTAAACTTACCAGGTGATGGCTCATCAGCTTGTACAATTTCAGCAGTAATTTGGCCATCTTGAGAATCTCCACTTTCAACAGCTACAGATAAGGGTTGAGTAGTTGAGGCCTCTTCGCTAGCTGATGTCTGCGATCCTTCATCGCCTTCCTTTACAAAGAATTGTTCATCGTGCTGTTCAGTCGATTCTGTCTCTTCAGCATTTGTTTCTTCTGTCACATCGGCTGTCTGAATCCCTGGAACATTAGCTAATAAATCTTGATCAGCAGACAAAAGTACGCAAGTCTGTTCTCCTTCAGCATTTGTAGACACTAAAATTGTTTCTCCTTTAGCATTTTTCCCAGCAACTTGATACATTGTTCCGTCCTCGCCAGTAATGAAAATTGGAGTTCCATCTTCATTTGTTAATATCTGTGTAATTTGATGCTGATCTGCATCACCTTCTTGCTCATCTCCTTGTTCTGTTTCGCCTTCAGCCTGCCCCAAAACTTTCCCAGTTATTGGACATAAGGTAAGCGGTAATGGTGGACTTTCAGATTCTGTTTCAATCGGTGGCAAATCTTTAGGGAATGGATCTTGAATTCCATCGTCATCTTCTTCCTCTACAGTTACTTTTTTCACAATTCTTTGAGGCCCTGGACCAGATTTACGAACAACTTGTGTAGCTGGTCTTCGAACAACAGGCGATGCTGTTTGTGGCTGTTTGGGAAGAACTTGAGTTCTTTGTGGTTGCTGTATTTGTGAAGTAACTGGAGATTGACTTTTATTCATTGGCGATCGTTGAATAATCTTTTGAGCAAGTGCCTTTTGTTGACTTTGTACAGACTGAACAGTTCTAACGACAGTTCCTGTATTCGCTTTTTGTGCATTTGGAGTGATTCCGGGCGATGCTTTTGGAACCACTCGAGTTACAACTGGTGATTTAGTGATTGTTGGAGCAGGATTTGTGGATACTTGCCCAACACGAACTATTCCACTTTGAATTTGATCCTTTTTCTCAACAATTCGAACTTGACCTTCGCCTGGCTTTTTAGTGACGACATTTGGACTTGGAGCAGCTTTCTTAAAAACACCACTCATTTGTTTCTGTCCAGCAATAACGACATCTGGGGATTTTGACCCAATAACTTTGCGTACAACAGTTGCTCCAATTTGCATGTCTTGTCCAGTTGTCTTTACTACACGAACATTTCCATTTTGACCTACAATATCGGTCTTAATCTTTTTAACTGATGTCTGTCCAAGTTGTTGTGCCATTTTCTTTTTCTCCCAACTTGATTCGAGCTCATAATCCTCATCATCTACATCATCGCCGTCTATTTCTTCGTCAAATTCATCCTCGTCTTCAATTTTTCTCTTTCCTGTTGTTGAATCTGAAATTTCATCATGATGCTTATTACCGCCAGTCCATTGTTTCACTTGATTAATTGCCTTTTGCTTTGATGAACGTTCAGGACGATTTGTTGCAATTACAGGCGTAGAAGTCGTTATTGGAGTCGATGGAGCTGTTGTAGTAACAACTACTTGTTGAGTCTGTTGCTGTTGAGTTAATTGAGATTTAGCACGCATTTCTTTCTGCTTTGCTAGAAGCACTTCAAAATTATCAATGAGATCCTTGCATGTATCCAAATGTGATGCTGGTTCCCATGTTTGAGGCTTTGACTCCCACTTGACTAAATATTCATTCTCACGTTTACGTGGGTTCATCCTTTTTGCCATAATTTTATCGATTGCTGCTTTCTCAATCACTCCCGAAACTGGATCTGTTCTGTTTATCAAGCGTTGTCTAAATGAATGGATATACGATTTATTAGGTATTGCTATAATGTTAGGTAAATGAGGAACTTACGTCTTTGGTGAAATAACAATTTTCTCTTGTACGGAGCCATCATCGGCTCTACGAATGACTTTTTGCTCAGTAACAATTACGTTTGGACTAGATCTTACAGGCGTAATTGCGGCTGGCAAAACACGCTTGACAACCTGACTAACAGGCGATGGTCGTGCATTCATTAGTGGCTTCTCAGGCGTCAATGTTTTTGTTATTTTTACAGGAGTTTCCTGTAAAGTTCCATTTCCAAACTAAATCATGGGAATTTTCATTAATTAAGGATGTTGTTATATTAAAGGAAGTAGGTACCTTCTCAAAAGATTGAATGGTTCCGCCGGCAACAAGCCACGACTGTCGAATACTCTCGTCCAACGACATCCATTGCTCATATAACTTCCAGGGCTGATCTTCATTTGCATTTTCCTGATTTTGATGGAATTGTGTTTGCTTCCACAGAAGATATGCCCACATTTTGGGTCGAGTTTCCCTCTAGAAAATTTTTCGGAGAGTTATGAGATTATTTTAGAGTATAAACAAATCAAAACATTATAAAGGATGTACATACACAATCATTGAAGGCAGAAGTTCTTTTACAGTTATTAGCTTTATGCTGCTTAAAGAGGTCAATAAAATGAAAGACATTATGACACTTTCCACAAACGAGAATGTCCGACTGAGCCATTTCCTTTTGTGCTTCTGTAAAATTATAATTGCTTAGCGTTAGTGTTGGTTGTTTACTAGTAGCATCCAGCGCTTAACTTACTTGCTATTAAATCAGGGTTCTTGCCAATTTCTGACGGTTCAATCTTCTTCATCATGCTACAAGCAAACAATATTTATACTATAGTTAATTATTTTCTAGCAATTTGATTTGATTTTTGAAAATTTTCGTTAAGCGTCTATTTCGTACGCGCGTAAATTGTTTATGTCTCTTTCTCTTATTTCTCTATTATACCTCTCTCTATCTTCACTGTATATGCTGTATCGCGATCCTTAAGATATAAATTATACTACAATATCTATTGTTTATCAATAGTTAATAAACTTTTTGATGTTTTTTGTTAAAACTGTAATGTCTTAATATTTTCTGTACTGAAAATGGCGAATAGCGATGTGAGTTTGAAAATTTTCTAGCCGTTATTTTTTTCACCAACATGAAATGCTTCTTATGGGTTTTTTTTCTATACGAGGGAGATTCTATTCTGATAAATGAAACCGTCTACAGCTTATCTACATTTCCAATTTACCTCAATAAGCTTTCTTGAAGACAAAAAAGTTGAAGTTCAATTTTTAAATCCTTAATTTTCAAATAATTTATAAACGTTACAATTTAAATAATTTTGCACCGTTATTATTCAACATTCTTTACTGTCTATGCCTGAAAATCACTTGTGACTACATCAATACAAATATCCTCATTTATTAAAATAATCATTTGTTATTTAATTTTATTAATTAATTTATTTCAAAAGCTACAAAAAATAGTACCGAAATCTCAATCATTTTAAATGCTTTGTTAACATAAACGGTAAGAAGAATTGCATGATTGCAAACATAAACAGGAAATACAATTTTCTTTTCCGTCCTAAAGTGTGATCGAAGCTTTGTGGCTGCTGACCATATGGATCATAGTTTGGTGCCTGTGCAGCACTCGAAACTGGCTCACTCAAGACTTTCGCTTTTAGTGTCCGTAACTGGAAGTTAATTAAGGAATATAGCAACAGTTTTTATATGTATTTACAATCAATGACTTACCAAAAAGAAAGCTAACGTAGACCCGCAGTAAATTAAGGCAATCCAATATCCGGTCGTTGAAAATAAGATAGTAGCACATAAGATAGCAACGATACTCGCATATTTATAGCCAGAAAATGCAACCAGATCTAACGTCCTCAAAGTCGTTTGGATATTTGTAACATAAAGTGTGATTGTATAAATAATTAATTCAAATATGTTGTAAGCCAATGCACTAGATGCTTGGATTCCTAATTGCTCCGGAGAAAACCTATCCTGTAATCCTTTATATAAATTGACATTAATTTTATGTATAGTCATTAAAAGTAGCTTAATTACTTACCTAATATAAAACCAGCGAGTACAATGTAAGTGATATAGCCCATCGTTGGGATATAAAGATCGGGAGAGTTTAAGTCATATCTAGGCTGAACAGCAGTCTCTTGATCAAACTTGAGTGACCAATCTTTCTGTGCAAATGGGAAGAATAAGAGCCTCAACTTATTCATAACATACTTATTGTCCACAGCAAAATAATATTTGAGTTTAGTGACTGACACATATTTTTCTAGTTCCTTATTAACTAGCTCCTTTCCTTGATCGGCTAATTTCTGACCATACTGAAATGCCATATCTTGCATTATAGGCTGTTGAAACATATTAAAGCCTATCTGATTCGGATCAATTGGAGACTGTTGCTGTTGCTGTGGATCATATGGCGATGATGCATATTGTGGATTATAATTGGGTGCTTGCGGTGATTGCATGTAATTAGATGGGCTCGTATTAGGGGTATAAAAGTTGCTAGGTGACTGGATCGTTGGATTATTATCATAATTTGCTGATAATGTTGGTGCTGGAATTGGATTAAATGGTGCTGGTTGTTGAGCTACTCCTCCTAATGCATTGACATCACTCACTCGTTTCGCCTTCTTGGCTGGTCCAGCTTAATTAATTTTTTTATTTGTGGATGAGAAAAAAAAAATTGTGAGATGTGCAATAAATTTGCTAGTAATTTAATGAGGAACTTACAACTTCTAGATGTCGGATTGTAACTCATTATGTACAATATCACTGATCCTACTTGTGAGAGCTTGAATTCCTTGTAAAATGTCCTGTATTATGCTTAAATTACGATAGATTCTTTTTTGATGATTTGGTCAAACAAGTAGAGAAGTCATCACTAAATGTGCTCGTCAAGGACATTAAGCGCTTTCAGAATCTTCTTGTGTTTAAATCATTTAAGAGATCGGAAGGTTTAGAAATACTGAAAAGTATTTTAAATTTAACGAATTTTTTTAAATTTGAATTGATAAATACTCTCAACTGAAGTTTGATGCAGTGACAGTCGGACAAAAGAATGACAATGACAAGGAGGTAACGAAAAATATGCTAAAAATAAACTTAGTTGAACATCCCAATTATTAGTACAATCTTTAGTACAGTCAAAAGAAGTGTAGCAGTCAAAAAATCGCTTAAAGAGTAATAATAGAAGAAAAGTCGAAAAATTGAAATTAAGCTTAATTTAATTCATTAATCGAAACGTTTAGGTACCATAGTAGTTGCTATGGCAGGTAGCGAGCTATTCTACTTGAAATGGAACAATTTCACAAAGAATGTTAGGTAAAAACGACACTAATGAGATATCAATTAAATTTTAGTACTGCTAATGATTTGTATGTAGGCACAAAAAAAAAAATATCCATTAAAAACATCAAATTAGCCACGAAGAAGGCTTCATAAAATGATTGAGGCTTCACGAGAAGTCTACCAAGAGTTATGCAATGCATTTCTGTGACTTTAAAAGTGACGCCGTCCTTAGTCATTAGCTTTTTTTTTTTCATTCACTCAGTGATTAATGTCCTTTATTATTGTATGTGCTGCATGAAAGTTTCAGTATTAGACAAAATCTTATCAGTGAAATTATCTAATTATTATAAATGAATAATTTTTATTTTAGGCGAATGAGAGATGAAGAAGACTTGGTTGACATTACATTTGCATGTGAAGGCAAGAAGCTGGGTGCTCACAAGCTCGTTTTATACAGTTGCTCACCGTACTTTAAGGAACTGTTGAAAGATAATAAATCGTCACATCCAATTTTCTTCTTTCATGACATCTCCTTTGACATTTTAAAGGCTATACTTGAATATATGTATTTGGGGGAAGTACATATAACTAATGAAAATTTAAAGGACTTTATACGAGTAGCCGAAGCACTACAAATTCGTGGATTAAGTAAAGATACAGCCACGACAGAAGAAGATGAAGAATTTATACGAAAACGAGCGAGTGAAGAGCATCTTTTACAGTCATATACACACGGCAAAAAACTTAAAATTATGAATGAAGCATTAGCTGCTGGACTTAATGATGATGAGGATATGGATAATGATGACATGCAATCAATTCGCGCTCAACAGCAACAACAACAGAATACAAGGAAAGAAAATGCACATAATGTTCAGCCAAAAACCGAATCACTTGAGTTCTTGGAGGACGTTCAGAATATACAGGCACAACAAGCAATGGTGAAACAACCTCAGAACATTACTTACATGAGTATGGAAAATTTTTCTGCGAAGGCTAGTACTGTAAACCCAACACATCAACAGCAACATGGACAGTCTCGTGAGTTCTTTGCTCATTATTCCTTAAACGTTCTTCTTAATGAGATTTATTGTTTTCGCTATAGAATTCATTCAAGCTGGCACAAGTCAATCACATCATCAACAGCAGCCAGCACATCCTGTGGAATACAAATCAGGTAAGCAACAAAACTTTAATCCAGCGATTTAATTTTAATCCTTAGATTTTATGTTAATCCACAGAGGACGAAATATGGGTTGAGAAGGCGATCGATATTGCGTCAAATTCAGGACAACAATCAGACGACACATCACCGAAAAGCACGAAAAGTTCAAAAAATAATGCGGCATACAAAGCCAACTGCTTAACTCCGAGGTTGTTGCTCATATTAATCTCTATTTGTTTTATAATGTACATGTTAATATTCATCAAGATCTTTTCTATTCAACAGATCATGTCCTGTATGTGCACGAGTCTATTCAAACGTTTCTAATCTACGACAACATATGAGGCTAATCCATAATCCCCAAGCCGTAGTCTGTCCTATTTGTCAAAAGCACTTTAATAGCGATTTGTATCTTAAGCGGCATTACGCATCAATTCATTCATTAAATACTTCAAGTGCATCAGAGAATGATGAGAAGCCAAGTACAAATCCCGCAAATAATACTGGAAGTAATTGGAACTATAATGATCCATCCATACTTCAACAGTAAATGAACATAAATTATACATATTGAATACCTCCAAATGTTTTGCCATTTTAAGATTTTTTGTAGTATATTAGAGAATATTCATTTTTAATTAAATATCATTATTTAAAGAGTATTCTTATCCATCGTAACTACTTAGCAATGAGTAACAAAAGGATGATAAAAAAAATATTTAAGATTATGATGTAGTTGTTTGTTTTAATAAGAGAAAACGATAAAATAGAGAGTAAATAATTATAAAGAAAGAAAGTTGTTTATGCCTTGTTCAGGATTTATTTATTAATTTTCAGGAAGAAGAGCAAGTTCAAAAATAACGTTTGAATAAATTTCCAAAAAATTAAGTTCAAATTTTGAACTTTAGAATACCGTTAAAATTTGAATGCCAAAAAACCGTTAAAACGTCAAATTTAATTTAAAATAGAAAGGATGAATAGGTTCAATGGAAAAAGATAATTTTAGGGATAAGCAGCTCAACCGTAATCATCTCATTCATTGAAAAACATTTTCTTCAACGAAAAAATTCTTGTGGTCATCAAATATTCAACCTTTAGAAATTCATAGTTCAAAGACATTTAATCGGCTATCTATGTTATATCCTGTAAGTCTCGTATTTGCTATAATCAAAGAATTTTTCTTTTAAAGATCAAAGACATCCGATTATCGTCAAATGCAGAAAGCAAGACAGTGTCAGGATATTCAAAATTACGGCAGATAATAAGGGTTAGAAACACTTGAGCATTTACGCAGGATATTCTCTCGCTAAATTTCACTCTCTTGTCTGAATGATATCAACAGGTTGCATGTTTATCAACAAACTCGTGACTTTTCTGTGCTTTCTCTCTCGAATTTTCTCGGAGTAAAATTCCTGAGATAAAGGAACAAAAATATTATGCATGAGTTAGTCGAGTATCGAATTTCAAACGGAAAGGACGAAAAAACATTTTCGTAAAGGATTTTCATGAATAAATAGGAAAAATAGTGAGACATGAAAGAATTCACAGGAAATTAACAGTTCAGTACAGAAGCACGTGCTGGATAAAAAATGCACAGATTTTTAAGACGGAAATAAAAGTAAGGATAAATATGTGATTCGGGATAAATATGTGTACTGAATGTGAATAAACATAGAATTGAAATAAATTATGGTAAACACCATGAGCAAATAGAAATATTTACACAAGTTTCATGCAACATTAATATCGTCATTACGATTTTTGTGGAAATAATTTGTTTGTTTATTTATTGAGAGCTTTTTCACGATCCTTAACCGGCTTATTTTCATAATTTTTCGTAATTTTTCGATTTAAATTGTATTAATTTATAGGATTTTTGAGTTTCAAAATTTAACGGAATTTTGACATTCAAAATTTAACGAAATTTTGTGATTTGAATTTTCGCATCACGTAAATTCGCCTTTGCATCAATTTTTCAAATGATAAAATACCGTTAATTTTTCAAAATAAGGCAACCTTAACAGTCACAAAAATGCGTTAGCTCATACAGTAGCTCATCGTTGTAAATTTCCTACTAGTTCACTGAATTAATTGAATTGAAAAAAAAAATCGGATGTATACGAACATACAAAGACCATGCTCAGAAAAGTGAGCATGTAAGTGAGTTTACTCAAAAATTATACTCATGCAAGCTCATTCAACTGAGCATGCTCAGGAGTTCATTACGAATGTACTCACTTTATTTTTTTGCAAAAAATTTATAAGCTCACGTGAGTACATTCAACGAGTGTACTCATGAGAATATTAAGAACATACTCACTTCTGTGTGACAAAATTTTATTTCACGTTCTCATATGAGTGCACTTACTGAACATGCTTATGGGAATATTAAGAACATACTCATGGGTATTTACTCTTATGAATACACTTCCTAAACATACTCATGAGCATATAATGAACATAATTATATCTATATGACATTTTCATAAATGTCGACCAACTTAAAATCGAACTTAGAATTTATTTTTATGATAGTCGACATTTTTAAAATGTTATTTTTAAAAAATTGTCAACCAACTTAAAAGCGAATGTTGAATATTTTAGAATATATGTAATACAAAAATGTCTAACATAAGAAATTTCCTAAAAAGAAACTTTTGTACAGTTTTAAGTTTTCTGAAATAAATGTCAAGAGTTTCTCAAGAAATTAAATTAAAAATTACTTTGCTTTTAAAAAACTATAAGGATTAAAATTATATTATGCGGAAATTTTCAAATACTGTACTAAATCAAAATCTTTTGGCTTTCACTAATATTTGAATTCATAAAATATTTTCAAAAAATGTCGAACTGCATAAAAACGTATTCTAAGTTCGATTTTAAATTGGTCGACATTTTTCAAAATGTCGACTTGCTTAAAAATGTATTCTTTGTTCGATTTTAAGTTGGTCAACATTTTTCAAAAATTTATTCTAAGTTTAATTTTAAGTTGGTCGACATTTTTCAAAAAATTATTCTAAGTTTAATTTTAAGTTGGTCGACATTTTTCAAAAAATGTCGACTTGCATAAAAATGTATTCTTTGTTCGACTTAAGTTGTTCGACATTTTTCAAAAAATGTCGACTTGCAAAAAAATGTATTCTTTGTTTGATTTTAAGTTGGTCGACATTTTTGAAAATGTCGACTTGCATAAAAATGTATTCTAAGTTTAATTTTAAGTTGGTCGACATTTTTCATAATATGTTCTCACGATCGTGCTCTGATCAACTCAAATATTTCATAAAAATATAGTTTAATTAAGCAGCGTATCAAACTTCAAAGAACTTAGTTTGCCTGTAATAATATAATAATTTAAGTATGTGTTTTGCCATAAAAAAATTATTATATATTTATAGTAAATGGTTCCAAGGAAAAGTGTGAGGTGACAGAAGTTAAGCAACGCAAAAGGTTTTCCTACAAGGATGGGTGACCGGTTTTTAAAGCTTCTTTCTTAAGTATTTGAGATAAAATGTTAATAATAATTTCTAAATCTTCCAAAATTATTCACAGAATTATCCTTATAAAACTCAAATTTAACTTAATTAATTTTTTGAATTTTGTGACTTTAACTGATTTCACTCATGAGTGTGCTCAGATGAGCATATACTCATAAATAAACTCACTAAGCATATATCTTTTGAGTATCTTCATGAGTATAAGCTCTTTGAGTATGTTCATGAGTTTATGCTCTTTGAGAATGTCACTTTAATGTATAAAATGAGCACATTCTCACAAAAGTTTAACTTTTGTATGTACGAACTCATTGTATGTTCGAGGTAATAATTTTTCAGACATAAAATAAAAAAAGTATAACGATGATGTTGAGTTAATATCCACAGATTATGCTTAAAACATAAATTTCTCAACATTTACAAACGTACTACATTTCTCTCTTCTCGAATTAATAACTTGCGGCTTGTGTAAAAAGGAAGCAAGAAAAAATAAATTGCGTACAATAAAAAGTGAAAAAATTGTGCTTTGCCAAAAAAAAAAAAAAATGAAATGGAATGTAAAATTGTGATAATTATCAGCATAAAGGAACAAATGAAAAATAATAATTTGAATGAAGCTTTTGTTGGCAAATAATCGAGAAAGATGAAATTGCCAACGGATAAAATTAATAAATCTGAATTGTACATGCATGCAGCGATTAAGTGCAATGAGTGTTGTGATTTGAAAGCAAAATTTTCAATAAGGAACATTAATCTTCTGTTTGGTGCATTGTATATGATTATTTTTATCACATCCTATTACACGATTAATTATGTTCATTATGTTATTGATCAAAAAAGCTTTGAGTTTCAATCTAATTGTGAGAGAATCATCAATAAAGAGATTATCAGGAATCGGATTATGATATACAAAAATTATCAGAATGGGTGAGTTTCAATTATCTATGCCTGATAGCTGGATTATATTATCATGCATAATTAACCCGCTCTATTTTCGCTACGGAAATTCACATTAAAAAATCATTAGTCATGAATCTTTTGAAATTTTTGTTCATGTAAATATTACAGAAAAGTGCTGTAAGCAATAAAGTTCTCTTTATCTATAGAAATAAGTTGAACTTTTGAAAAATCTTCAAGTCATTTATTTTAAACTTTTTAAAAGTTGTTGAAAATTTGATTTTTTGAATCGAAGAATATGTCAACGGCAATTTTTTATTCAAATTATGTATAGACTTCTTATTGAAACAAACTTACCCAGTTTTTTAAAGCTGTTCATCTAGAGTTATTTTCAATTAAAACATTCTGATTATCAACTCAACAAAGAAAGTTAAAATTTATTACTAAAAAGCCTTCTTCAATTAATGTTGTTTCAAAGAAAACCTTTATTTTGTTTCCCGTCACAAGTTTGAATATCTTTTAATGTAAAAAACAGATCTCATAATTAAGCAGTCAGTTAATCTATCCGTAGTAGAAACATCCAAGAAGCACAAATTTGATGGATGGATTGAAGACTCATAAAAATTTATGAATTCTTAAGAATTTTCAATTTCCTAAGGTAAACATTCATAAATTAATACATTTCTTAATGGAACCAGCTTCCTCCAAGATTTAAAGAATCGTTGTTCTAAATGCCTTCGTCTTCTAAATCGCACAAAGTAGACGAAAAAGAATGTAAATATCTCAGATTGATGTTAAAAAAAAAACATTCCAAAAAGAAACTGTGCGTAAGCAATTAATCAGCGATTATTTCAAATATCTGATGACAAATGATGACAAATATAAAAGAATGAAATTGAATTTAATTTGAAATTACAGACATTTTGAAACAAAGCTGCCTTCAGATTTTTATAATCGTAACAATAATCAACAACAGAATGTACAAAATGAGAGGAAAAACATGAAAATTCATGATACAATAGCTCATAATAACAATTATTTAAATGACCATTCGAAAAATTTATATCCTCAAAAGCGATTAAAACGTGATGCTGATAATTTATTCAAGGATAATGATCTCTTTTCGAATTATGATAATAATGACAACCAAAATGATGGTAAGCATTTACATTAATCGATATAATTGAAATGTTCAGTCCAACACACCCATTTTCTAGAGCCTGTAATTGAAGCTGAATTTTTCGATCCAAAATATCGAGGAGAGTTGGAACAGCGGGATGCTGAGATGGTTCGAAAAACTGGAAAAGGACCTGCGAATGGTGATGAATGGGTTTGGCTGACTCAATACTGCAGAATACCGGTACAGACTGTCAAAGTTCTTCTTTTATTTCTATAACATTACTCAAAGCATTCTACATTAAGCTATTCATTCATGAAAACTCATTTTAAAATGACTCAGTTGCCATAACTCATGCATGACTATATTCGTTATCAGTGGTTCTCAAACTGTCTGTTTCAGGGACACTATTGGCTTTTTAAATAATTCAGCTTCTAATTTTTTGAAAATTAAGTTTTAAGGTTAAGTCAAGGTTTTCAATAAGTTTCATTTGTCCCTACAAGATTATCGCCACACAACGTTTAAGAACCCCTGATAATCTTCTAGTCACTCATGTTTATGTAAGAGCTTCATGAAAGTTATTTGTGTGTTTTGCTGCTTCTTTTAATAACTATACTGCAGCACATCATATTTATTTCAATATCTTTTATAGAATTTTTTTTATCTTTCATTTACTTTAGCTTTTATCATGTCATAAAAGAAATGTTTATTTTGTTCCTCCTCACATGCACTTTACATATGTAGCTTTTAATGCTCTTGCATGAAGAGGAGAAAAAAAAAATAGATTTCAATTTCTCCCTTGACATAACGCTCGGTTGAGTTGATGCTTTACATTCATTAAATCCTTTTATATCCATTATTATTTTTAATCCACTTTAATTGTGAGTAAATTCAATAAATTCATATAAAATTACATCCCTGGTGTGCAGTATGAGGCAATTACTGGATACTGTAAGGAAGCTAAGAACTACTGTCCTCCAGGTTTGCAAGGCCCTCCAGGTAAATTATTTATATCATAAAATATTGACTTCATGTGAATTTCCAACAGAACTCAATCATAAAATCTATGCAATACAGAGTTTATTGATGCTTAAATTGTGGTTTTACATTGAGTATGGCATAAAACATTTTATAGCTAATATCAACAGCAGTTTGAATGTAAACAATTCATTCTTGCTTAAACAAGTCACAAAATGCATGCTTTGTATTTTGGTTTTTATAGAGAATTGAGGTTGTTCTTGAATTCACGAAAAAACTAGTGTATCGGGTAGAAACCCAATGCGGATTATATTCACACCGTACTATCATAAGTCTTATGGATAGACCAAGATTTGCCCATCATAAGTATGAAGGTATGAAGCTTGATAAGTCAACTAAGCTTCGCTCAGCATAAGTTTGAAGTTATAAAGCTATCGCGTAAGCTGAGTTTCGCTCAGCATAAGTTTGAAGATATAAAGCTAGAGTGTCAGTAGAGCTACGCTCAGCATAAGTTTGAAGATATAAAGCTAGAGTGTCAGCTGAGCTTCGCTCAGCATAAGTTTGAAGATATGAAGCTAGAGAGGCAGCTGAGCTTTGCTCAGCATAAGTTTGAAGTTATAAAGCTATCGCGTAAGCTGAGCTACGCTCAGCATAAGTTTGAAGATATAAAGCTAGAGTGTCAGCTGAGCTACGCTCAGCATAAGTTTGAAGATATGAAGCTAGAGAGGCAGCTGAGCTTCGCTCAGCATAAGTTTGAAGTTATAAAGCTATCGCGTAAGCTGAGTTTCGCTCAGCATAAGTTTGAAGATATAAAGCTAGAGTGTCAGTTGAGCTACGCTCAGCATAAGTTTGAAGATATAAAGCTAGAGTGTCAGCTGAGCTTCGCTCAGCATAAGTTTGAAGATATGAAGCTAGAGAGGCAGCTGAGCTTCGCTCAGCATAAGTTTGAAGTTATAAAGCTATCGCGTAAGCTGAGCTACGCTCAGCATAAGTTTGAAGATATAAAGCTAGAGTGTCAGTTGAGCTACGCTCAGCATAAGTTTGAAGATATAAAGCTATCGAGTCAGTTGAGCTACGCTCAGCATAAGTTTGAAGATATATGTAAAGCTATCGAGTCAGCTGAGCTATGCTCAGCATAAGTTTGAAGGTATAAAGCTTGACGAATATGCCAAATATTCTTTAAAAGTTTTTTAAAAAATTTTTTTATCCAAAGTTGAATTTTATAAAAATCACAGTCAACTTTTGTTTTAAAAAATTCGTAAGAAAGGAAAGTTTTTTGCTTTTTCTGAAGCAACGGCTGTTCCTACCTTGCCCAAAAACAATACAGCTCTTCTATAGAGCAGCACGGATCAAATGTAAAAAACTAGAAGTCTCTACGATGTCTCGTTATTGAGATTTCTTGCTGATTAACTTGCTTGTTTGCTTGTTTGCTTGTTTGCTTGCTTACAGAAAGCATATTTTGCGATTTTCTCAGCAATGCCGCAACCAATTTGAAATCTGTTTTTTGCAAAAGATGTGAAATTCAAGGCACAAACTTTTCATCTCTGAACATTTTAAGCTATCTTGCTCCATATCCTCACAAAATTCTAAAAACTGATTTTTCAATCTGAACAAAACCAATAGATTCACACGCGAAAACGGTGTGAATATAAAAAACAATAAGTCTAGTTTAGTGAAAAAACATGAATTTTGAACAACCTTTTAAGGACATTTGAACAAAATATTATTGCTTCAGTGCATTACGATTCACATTTTTAATATAATTATAATTAATCAAAAACTAAGCTTTATGTTTAGTCTCTTTAATGAATTGTGACTAATTGTTAAATTACTAAATTTGAATTCAAAACGGTTTTTTGAAATTTTAATATATTTCCGAGTGTTCAGTCGCACTTACAAAGATTTTTTTAATGAACGTACTCAAAAAACACTTTTTAAAACAGAAGAGCAAAATTTCAAATTTTTACTGCCTCCAATCAATAAATGAAGGAATTTTAATGCTGACATTTTGTTTTATTGACGTTTATTTCACAATTCTCGAGTCCCAAAGGCACAAAACTTGTCGCAATTTTCGCATTAAATCTTTGTCTGCAACTTTGTTAAATAAAAAAGTTCATTTATTCCGCCAAATGTACAATGGAAAAGTCAAATAATATAGCTGAATGAGTCTCATAGCCAAAACTTCATTGTTAAAATATGAAAAATTTACATTGGAAACTGTCAATGCCTCAAATTGATCCATAAAATGCCCCAAGTGAATGATTAAAGATTCCCATGTTAAACTCGCATCGAAACTTTACACTTGCTGTCATTCATTCATTCATTCATGCATGGAGAAGAGAATAAGTGCTCACATTCCATACAATTTTCTTTTCAACTTTTCAATATCAACTTGAATATAAAAGAGAGAAGTTCACATGAAGCAGTTTGTAGCCTTGAGAATATCTTATAAGAATAACTTGAACATATATCTTGAATTTCTCAAATATCCATCAACGAAGGAAGAGAAGGAAAAACCGGAACACGTGGACCAAAAGGAGAAATCGGTATGTGAATGCATTAGACTTCATTAAACTTTATCAACTAATGCTTTTTCTTTTCTTTTTTTCATGACTGCATCTGACAATGTTTCTTCTTGTGTCTAGGATTTCCAGGAAATCCTGGTTTAGACGGGAGAGGTATGAACTATAAATTGTAATTTGTTGCTGAATATTTTTTTTTAAATTTATTTTCACTCTTGTTCAATTAATCTTCCCAAGACGGAATTAACGGAGAACCGGGTAAGTAATAAAGAAAATTTTCTCAGAATGTTTATGAAGAATCGCAACAGTAAAAAGCTTTCAATTTACATAAAATCATTACCGTTTAATAGGTCTCGATGGAATACCGGGCCGAGCTGGAGCAGATGGCGTGGATGGATTTCCCGGAAAAGACGGTAAGAAGTTATTCTGTATTTGCTTTTCAATTATAAAATTGCTTGTGCTCCATATGTGTAGGCAAAGATGGTATACCCGGATTAGATGGAAAGAATGGACTACAAGGACCTCCAGGGTATGAATATCCAAAAAGTATCACATTCATTTATTGTTTACATCTTCTTATTGTTTATTTTTTTCAAAAAGTTTGCCTGGTCCGCAAGGTATGAGAGGTACGTACCGTCAAAGCATGACTTGAATAATTCAAAGAAAATTAAAAACTTCTCAAAGTGGGAAGGAAGGAGAGCAAAAAAGTAGCAAAATTCGCAGTCCCTCTTCAAAATTGATTGACATTCAAATTAAGATAGAATTTACACACAAAAAGGTGCCATTCTAAGTCAAAAAAAAAATTTAAAATTCCTTTAAAGACTCGGTTTATCTAAAGCCTTTATGAATTTCGCATTGTTCAGTATAAAGTCATTTGCCAAGCCATAAAATTCCATTAATAATAATGAATAGTTGCTTCATATCAAAGCTTATCTCATCAGATGGATTACATTCCAACATCTATGTAGAATCTAGTGATTTTAGATGATGAAAGAGACTAGAGTTTTAATTATTTTTCAGCTTTTAGATTTAGAATTAATTAAAAAATTCAAATCTCTAAAAGCTGTTAAAAATTCAAAACTGTCAATACTTTAAAGTTTTAAAAAATGTTAAAAAAATTTGAAAACTTATAAATTCAAATCTTTGAAAACGGTTTAATTTTCAAATCTTTAAAAACTATTAAAAAGTTATATGCTTTAAATTTAAACTAAAATACCGTTTGAGAACCGTTATCAAAATAAAATCAGTAGACGTGGCAATGCACTAGATAAAATCTAGATAGAAGATTATTATCATCTAAAATCCTCGCATAAATAAGACTGTTTATTCTTCAGTCTATATACATTAGTCCAATTGTTTTAATCTTCTTATGAGTATGAAGCAGTTGTTGTTTTTCATGTTAGTAGTAATTTGTGCCAAAACAAGCTTCTCTAATACGGAAATATTGTTATTCTTATTGCTATGTTCGTTGTTTACATAAAAGGCATGAAAGGAGAAAAAGGATCAAGGGGTAGGACTGGCAAGCCTGGCAAAGATGGTAATAAATTGAGTATTAACGGAAAAAAATGTTAACAAGATGCTGTAATCAAGACATTTTGTGCTTCAAAATTTTTAGGAGTTCCGGGGATAAATACATGGAAAGTTAAGGTTAATGGAACATATTCTGATGAATTACTTGTTCCGCCTTCTATTGCAAGTATGTATAATAAATTACATCATAATTGCTTCCAAAAAACTTTAAATTTTATCAACAGCCGCTGAATATAACTCAAATAAGCCACGTTCTATTGTTGTGCGTGAAGGAGAGCATTTAAGACTACGATGTGCTGCAAATGGGTATCCACAACCAAATGTCGAGTGGGTGCGTCAAGACGACAGAGCAATATCTTTTGGTGCATGGGAATTAAGCTCTGTTTCAGGTAAGGATATGATGAAACATTTTACGATCTTTTTTATGTTCATGAAAAATATTTTCATGTCTTTTCATCATAATTAGGACATACATTAAACATAACAAAAGTTAATCGTGTTCATATGGGATTATACAAATGTGTTGCTGACAATGGTATACCACCGACTGCAAATCAGACATATCAGCTCGAGGTTTACTGTAAGTTAATTTAGTAATCTTGTAAGCACTTTTATAATTTTGGGAATTGTTGCTGGTATTGAATTTTAAAAAGGGAATGACACACGACAAAAAAAGGAGCTTATTAAGGACAAGGATGAATAATGAATTATTCTATGAGCATTGAATGTTGTTCTAGTCGAGTTTAAAATGCAAATTCTTCTTCCAAACTTTTGTCATTTCCGGAAGTTTTTTTACATCCTTAATTCAGTTGATTGCTTGGTTTAAATTTTGATTTTAAATGTTTGCAGACATGGTTGGGAAACAGATTGTTGTAAATGAGTTGCAGTTTAATAATCAGTCTGTAATCAGGTTTGATTTAGGATCTTATGGACATGTTATTTGTCAGAGACTTAAGTAAGAATGTGCAAAGGCAGGAGGTAAAGAAGGAAGCCAGCTAAGATTTTGTATAAAGTCGGGTCGGTTTTCGCAGACAAATCCATACAAAATCTTAATTGAGTATCCGGTTTAGAGCTCTGTATAAAGTACTTCAAATTCTAAAAAGACTTGTCACACCATTAATAATAATAATAATAATAATAATAATAATAATAATAATAATAATAATAATGTGTGAAGGGCCCAGCCTTTTAGCCTGAGGCACTGCGATTCAAATTAGAACAGAATCTATTGTACCACACCCTTTAGACCTACAGTTTATAGTGGGATCCGAACCACTTGTAAGCTCTGCACATTGCAAAGACACGAGTACGTTATAAGACCTGATGTACCTTGCAATGTACCTAGTCACAATTCGTATGCGCAAGATGCCATAAGAAAGTCATCCAGATGCTAGTATATCCTTGTTTAACCAGCAAAGGAGGCATATTCTGTGCCAAAGACCTCAAAACTACACCCAACACACGAACCGAGCTTCGTAACTAGAACGGTGAAATGGAAAAAGAGCTTCGAAAATTAGACATGGCCTGGGATTGAACCCAGGACCTTTGGCACAGAAGGCCAACGCTCTACCATTTAGGCCACTGATGCCATTTCACCGCTTGTCACACCCTTACTCACGAGTAAGATCTGTCAAAGGTCATGTCAGTACCAAGACTTAATTATACCTGAAACCAGAGTTCTATTCGATTCCATAGTCCGTACTCTACTTGAGCGGCATAATATAGTCGTCCCATGGTCGACCCATTTGATGACAAAGAATGAGATTAGCACCAAAATTATACTCGTGTTAGTCATTCGATGCCAAACCATATCTGATCTGAACATACAAGTTTCAACTCTGATTTAAAGGATAAATCTGATTCGGAAATTAAAACCATTTAATTAGATGTAGAAATTGTTCAAATAAGAGGTCCCCTTCTGTGACAATTTCTACCTGATGTAGAAGAAAATGGATAAGCAAACAAACTATTCACACATATAGAAGAAGAATAGAAAAAAAAAAGTAAAAGTAGGGAGACAAAATAAATAAAAACTTTTTTATTTGAAGGGTCATTAATTCTGTTCTTACCATTCATACCTAAATTTTCTCTTCTTTTCTATAGTTGCACCATTAATTCAAATTAGGAGCCAAACAATTTATGTTGAAAATGATTCAACAGCAACTTTAGAGTGCGAGGTTGAAGCATTTCCAGATCCATTTAGATTTTGGGAGAAGCTGCCTGAGAATAAACTTTTGGAGCAAAATGATGGAAAATATTTTATTGAGACAGTTCACACTGACAGGTAAAGCCGTATATTAATTTTATCGAAGATAGAATTTTTTTTTCGTGTGTGGATGGATGGATTCAGGGGAAACTTAGAAGTCGGGCTTACTTCTTTGCTTCTTTTTCTGAAAAGCTGCCAAATTAGCATTCAGTCTAGATGAGAAGAGTGTTGAATTTAATTTCTGAGGCTGGTTTCTAGGGGTAATAAGTACAGAGTATTTTATAAATCCCCTGGTAGATAGATATATCCTAATAGATCCTTTCCTAAGTCACAAGATGCCTACCATAAGTCATAACCTAACCTATAATCCATATTTGAACAAGGTTAGAGTAGTCCTCTAAGGAGCTTCAGCAACTGACCCCCTGATTCCACCACTGCACACAATAATATATATGTGTGGATAGAATCTCCACAAAATAAAATTCAGTGATTTTTATATTGAAAACAATGAAGCTATTGGTTATATGATATAAAAAAAAAGAGTAAGCACTCTTGATTGTTTGCCATTTATTTCCTGTAGATATAAATCTATAATGAGATTGAATATCACAAAAATACGCTCGCATGATTATGGAGAATATCGCTGTGTCAGTAAAAATGAGATGGGAATAGCAAGAGCCGTGTTCCAAGTACAGGGTAGATAATAACTTTTTTTTGCACTTACTTATCGCACACAATTTGTTTTTTTCAATATTAACGAGATGATAGAAAGTGCGGCGTCATGATATATGCCTCTATTGATTTCAGAACGTTATTCGTACATGATACCAAGCGCTTCCGATGATACACCACCCATTATGTTTGGTGCTCGACCTCCACTTAAGGAATCTTTTGAAGATTTATGCCCACCACAAATTTGTCCTGACTGTACGGATGTTAAGTGAGTAAATACAGTAGCGGCCAAAAGTATCCGGACAAACACAAAAATGTCTATAACTTTTGACTGGATGGTCCAATTTAATTCAAATTTTCACTGGAATACGTAAAATCGAATGACAATTAATAAAAATATTACCTTAATAACAAATCTTTAAAACCAAAAATTTTATTTTAAAAAAACTAAAAATTGAATGGACAAAAGTATCCGGACAAAATTAAAAGTTTGACGGAAATTTGTTTAAAAAGCTTTTCTCACACTGAACGAATGCTTTTTTGTTAAGTATTTTGTGCTTTTTGTTTACATTCATCATGTCAACTCAAAAATATTTGAGTTCACCAGTTAAAAAAGCAATTATTAGTGCTGTAGACCAAGGACGAAATTACAGAGACATTGCACGTCAATTTGGCACTGGAAAGTCCACAATAGCTGATGTTGTTCGACAATTTAGAGAAAGAAATAATCATAACGTGTTACCGAAATCAGGAAGACCCAGAAAGACAACTGCAAGACAAGATAAGGCTTTAATTAATGCATCGAAAGCTGATCCGCGTAAGAGTGCGGTAACATTAAATGCAGAAATAAAGGAATATTACAATGTTCAAGTGAGTACAAGAACAACTAAACGTCGATTGAATGATGCAGAATTGTTTGGACGACGTCCCGTCAAAAAGCCGTTTGTTTCTGTAAAGAATCGAAATGCCCAAATAAAATTTGCCAAGGAACATCTTAATTGGACTCGTGAGCAATGGTCAAAAGTTCTTTGGAGTGACGAATCAAAGTTTATGTTGTTTGGATCTGATGGAATCAAGTTTGTGAGACGACCAAAGGGTCATAGAAACGATCCAAAGTATCAGTTACCGACAATTAAACATGGTGGAGGTAACGTTATGGTGTGGGGATGCTTTAGTCGTGATGGAGTTGGTCCGATTCATCGAGTTACTGGTATTATGGACAAGGAAATGTATAAAGATATCATCAACAGAGTAATGCTTCCCCATGCCAAACGTGTTATGCCTCGAGGTTGGATTTTCCAGCAGGATAACGATCCCAAACACACATCGAAGGTCGTTAAGGAATTTTTTAAAACTAAGAAGATCCGAGTTTTGGAATGGCCATCCCAAAGTCTGGATCTTAATCCGATAGAGCATCTTTGGGAACATGTAGAGAGACAAATTTCAGGTCGAAAACCTACAAATCAGAATGCTTTGTTTACCATAATCAAGGATGCTTGGGAAAAGATCTCAATAGATGTTTTGATTAAGCTGGTGGACTCAAGCATGGACGATGTCAAGCAGTAATTGATGCTAAGGGCTTCCCAACAAAGTACTAAACAGAAGAACTCAAAATTCTATCCATTATAAGCCATTTACTTAGTAAAGAGTATTTTTTTCTTAAACTTTTAATTTTGTCCGGATACTTTTGTCCATTCAATTTTTAGTTTTTTTAAAATAAAATTTTTGGTTTTAAAGATTTGTTATTAAAGTAATATTTTTATTAATTGTTATTCGATTTTACGTATTCCAGTGAAAATTTGAATTAAATTGGACCATCCAGTCAAAAGTTATAGACATTTTTGAGTTTGTCCGGATACTTTTGGCCGCTACTGTAATTAATTCATTTGTTTTTTATATCCTTCGCACATATCACTAGCTATTTTACTGTATTGATATGTGGATTCTCTTTTTTTGATTGTGATGTGTGGGTAACTCCTCAGATTATCGGGTTGACCCTTGGGAATCGTGCAGATTATCATTTAATCTGTTATTGACCTGAAAAAAATTGTTTTTCATTTGTGAAAAATTAAAATATCGTATTTCTGACATGAGCTCTGTTGTCTAGGTATGTTCATCATTCATAACAAGATATTGGAGCATATTTATTAAGGGGTTATTGATTTGTGACGTCAAGGTAGGGAAAAGGATCGTTCACTTATGACGTATTGTCTATTGTTTTTTTTCTTGCTGACCCCCCCCCCCCCCCCCCCCCCCCCCCCCCCTTGGACGTCATAAGTGAAAGGCCCCTTAGAGGAAGAGGTTTTTAAGTTTAGGGGAACAGACATTATTTCAAATTAAAATATTTTGAAAATTGTCCTTACAAGCCTCTTTAAATCATGTTGTTATCCCCTTGCCATCGACACAATAAAAAGTCAACTTTATTTTTAATTCGATGGATTTAACTTTAATCAAGTGGATATAACTTAAAATCCTGGACATTAAGTTATCAATTCAACAAATCCATCTCAATTTGGATCAATGCCAAATGAAAAAAAAAGCCAAACTTTTCAACAAATTGCAATCATATGCAAACATTCACCCTTCCATAAACAAAAGAGCCAAAATAATCAGCATGTCCAAAAAACATCCCAAAGAATTAATTTGACTAAATTTCCATTGAATTTCCTAATCTTTATTTCACCATAAATTTACGGGGAGTTTAACCTGAAGAGTTATCCATGCTATACGAGATATATGTGCGAATTGTAACAATTCAACAAGCATCCTTACATCTATAAAACAGAAAAAGAGAGAAGAATGGGAATTAACAAGAAAAAAATACTGAAACTTTCATTATAGAGAAACAAAATGTAGGGATACATCTGTATCATTGAACGATCTTTTCGGTGGTAATTTGGAACTTAAACCGAGCGGAAACAAAACTTATATGGGGTTGCCAAGTCGTACGTTAGGTAAATTTTTTGAAGCTTTAATTTCATTTTTTTTTTCACTTTAACAGCACAAACATACTCACGTTGTGGATGTAAATGCAATTGGAAGAACTGGCATTTATCATAACTTTTTTATCGCTACATTTGCAACATTTTGTAAATTTTCATTACATTAGTAATTTTGCTATTCGCCTCATTGCCCCTTATGCCAAACCATTTATAAATTTATTTATTTTTGTGTGTATGTGTGTGACTGTCTCTCATGTAATGTCCGTACGTACGTAACAATAAACATGAATTATATTATGTTCATTCTGTAGAATGTGTATTGTATGCTGTCGGAAAGCCAGTTTATATTAAATATACTGAACAAAATTATGGCTCATGGCTAAAGGACTCGGCTGCAAAGAATGACGTACAGTCGGATAAGATTTGGTCAACGCGAGAGAATGATGATTTTCAGTTATTTGAATATGCAAATAAAGTTGAGGCCTACCGTAACAATGTAGCATCAAAAGTGTATCGGCTTCAATTTCCATTTAAGGTAATTCAATTATGGTTTATGTAGATATTCTATTGCTAAAATAATACAGGATAAAAAGCTATGTTTAGAATATTTGGATTGTTTAATTGTATTGTTTATTGCCAATTCTCCATTGTTGGCCTTCCGACATGTTCTGATAACTTTTTCGAGAGCTTACTTTATTCGAGTTTCGAACAAAAAAGTTAGTCCAACGAGAACGAATTTCCAATTCAATTCTGGTCATGCTTGATTTTCCACGAATGGGTTTTATTTTTGTGTACGAAGATTTCATTTTAAATATCAGATGATGCTGAGTAGGTTACTAAAAATAGAAGGAAGAATTTGTAAAAGAAATTTAAAACTGATTTTTTTTTTGAAAGTTTAATTGGCCGTGCTACTTATTTTGGTTTGTATTAAAGTAAATAAAATCGAAATTGGGGTAAATTTAGGTAGAGTTTACCTATATCACATATTAGATGTAAGCAGTTAAGTGTCTTGCTGGTCGAATAGGTAAGGCGCTTGGCTCAAATTTGGGATGGTAACTCGAAGGTCGTCGGTTCGAATCCAGACATTTCCAAATTTGTTCTTTTTCGGACGTTTAGATACTTCGACTGCTTAATGTAGAAGATCAAGCCATAATTGGGGATTTGGGCAACGTTGGAATAAGGAACGGGTCAGGAACTTGAAGTGCAGCGGGAGAAATAGGAAGATCAACCACAGAAGATCGAACGAGAGCCTTAGTTTATTTGAAACCTAGATATGAAGATTAGAAGTTTGATCCTACATAATATTAATTCATATGTACACAAATTCAAAAGTGTAAAATGTGAATTATTACCGGACAGTATGTCGTCAATAAATGCAATAAAGATCAATTAAAATAAAAAAAAAAGATCCCATAAATACCTTAAACGCACAGTGATATTCCTTTCAAACTAAAGTGGATAATTCGAAATGAGGATCAGAGGTCCAGTGTTTCTCAAACTATGCTTCATGACACAATTGATGATATAATAGACTCAAATGAAGAGCCCTTGTGACCCAAAAAGTTTATGTGTACCAAAAAGATTGAGAATTAATGGAACAACAAGTAACTTTGTCACTCAGAGTGAACGAAAAAAAAATTGGGAAGCCCTGGTTGAAGCCTTCAGTTCGCACTGATTACTACTAAGTTACAGTAGTAAAGGATTGTAGCTACTTCATAAACATCCAACAGCTTTTCCTTTAAATTCACAACTTTAAAGCGATGTAAAGGAACAACTTTAATGCGTTTGAAAAATTCCTAGAAACTTTTCACCCTTAAAAAAAATCCAGAACAAAAGTTTTTAAAATTACTTAACATGCCTTGCCTGTCTCATCCCGCAAATTTTAAAATTCTTTAAAACAATAACAAGAAAGAATTTAAATTATTTCAACCTTTTGTCTTGATTCATGATTCATTTTATATCTTTATATGAATAAAATTTTACAGGGCAATGCACATGTGGTGTACAATGGATACTTTTACTATTTCCGACGAGACGAGCCAAAGATTGTGAAATACGATTTAACGATGGATAAACAAGCAGGTGATTTTGCTACAATATTTTATTAATATTACTAATAGATAGAGATTCTGTCTAAGGATTTATGTCAATTTATTTTGGTCTGGAATCGTTTTTTTTTTTTTTTTTTCGGGGCAAAAGCTGATGCGATGTTTATTTATATCCTCTATTCCACGTTGTTTACATAGGCATGAAGGAGTTAGATTTTGCGACATCAAATAATACCAACTATTTATACACAACTGAGTACAATCTGGTTGATTTCAATGTAGATGAGAATGGATTATGGGTAATCTATTCAACAGCAGATTCAAACAATACTATTGTTTCGATGCTAAATCCAATAACTCTCGAAGCGTTGTATAGTCTTAATATCAGTATTAATCATCACAAGGTAAGCTGTATAAACTTGTGTACTATGTCTATACATGCTATTCATAGGGAAGAGTCAACATAAGATAAAAATCGATTTTTCTGCTTGCTTTTTCTTTCCATACTTTTTTTTATGCACTTACTTTTTTATCACTCTTACACGGCTGTATATAGGTTGGTGAGGTACGTAGCTTCAAGCCATTTCTTGTGTTGCAATTTAACAAGGAAGTGAGGAGCAGTATAAAAAAGTAAATTATTTGTATACTCTTTACAGATGTTCATAACATGCGGAGTTTTATACGCAATTGATTCTTCAGCTGATAAAAATACAAAAATACGCTTTGCGTTAGATTTATATACATTGAAGCTACTCGACGTATCATTGAGCTTCACAAATCCATTTAAAAAAACAACAACGCTCGGTTACAACCATAAAAATAAAGAATTGTATGCGTTAGATAAAGGAAATCAACTACTATATCCGATACGATATCATGAGATGAATCATACGACTAGTCGTAACGATGAGTCTGTAAATACACAACAGCAAGCGAATTATGATACGAACTCTTACAATCGAGGAAACTTGAATTAGTGTTGTAGATATTTACGTCCTATTATAAGCCTCATCTTATTTAATATTCGCAAATGCTTTCATATATCAAAGTCATTAACCATTTAAGTCTCACAATCTTTTATCATTTTTTTTTCTTCTTCTTTATTATTCAACATAAATTTATTAAATTTTAAATTGCGTAAATTATTACAGAAAAAAAGGGGATGACAGAGTCGGCATCTAGATGCTTTGGTGATATATTGAGCAGGTTTCAGCCAGGAATTGAAGTCGATTCGAACTTTGTGGCAAAGTGTTAACTCAAGTTGTCTCAACTTTAAGCATTCATTTGATTTTCTGATACTTGCAGCTATTGGGTTTCTAAAAATTTATCTAAGGATTATATCAGGACTTTATTCGGGTAAGGGTTGCTACATTAGGATAATCAAATGTTAACTTCTAAGACACCGACTCACAATCTAGATAATAACTTTTTCTGCCACAAGACTAATCACACAGTGTCATATATATGCAATAAACTTCCTAGATGAAATGTCGTGAGTCTTAGTAATGATGAAGTCAAAGATCTCTCTATTAGGAATAGAACTCGCGTGCTAGCAACTCTAACCGGCGATACCCTGGATTCTAGTATCCTGCGACACCACAGCATACTCTATCTAGATTCCAACTCTGACAAACCAATGTATCTTGTAGTTTGTAGCAATTGTATGTATGTATATAGGATATAGAAATTTTACAAAACTGATGGTAGATTTAATAATAAAGTATTGAAGGAATATGCAGAACCGACACGAACGAAATGAAAAAGTTTTTTTTTTATTCTTTTGCTGGATATTTCTCGAAGCAACTTTTCAGATCGTTGTTAATTTTTTCTTGAAAATCGTCCTCGTCAATTCTGGAATCTATGTCGATGCATTCGTTGCCGTGTAACTCGAGATTGAATAAACTTTCCATATTACTGAACGCTTGTGGATGTATAGCTTTGAGTTTATTATCATAAAGTAAAACTTCTCGTAACTGACGATTCGATTGGAATAGTTCCAAATCAATTGATTGAAGTTGATTACCAGACAGTGACAGAATTTGTAAACTGATGAGTGGATTGAAAGTGTTCATATGAAGTGCAGCAATTTTATTGTCCGACAAATATAAATCTTCTAAATGGCTGAGGTTGATGAACGTTTTCGCATCAATTGTGCTGATTTGATTCTTACGGAAACTCAAAATCATCAATGCTTTTGCATATTCGAATGTGTTGGCATCAAACTTCGTTATTTGGTTATTATTTGCAAGTAGAACTTTGAGCTCTGTTGCATGCGGCAATTCATTGAAAATTCTCAATCCAACACCATTCATGCTCAAATATTCCAAATTGGGAAATTTACGGAACACTTGATTTGGAATGCGGGATATGTTTGACGATGAAAACTCAACAAATTTCACTCCCATATCTCTTCTTCCTTTTGACGGATGAGGTCCCGTTATTGTAAACTTTTCATCTTTATGTAAAACTGCATTTTTAATCTTGCATGAGTAAACATTACCCAACATTGAATTTGATTCATTTATGAATTCACATTTTCCTTCTCGTCCCGGAACATGACCACTTTCCACGTTGGCATAATAGCCAACTGTTACAATTAAAAAAAGGAACTTTAAAACCATCTGCCTTATTCGCGTTAAAAACTTGTGAATGTTGAAGCAATACTGAATTGTTTGCTCTCGTTTGTTTCGTTAAATCCTACAAAACAACAGATTTTTTTGACGGAATTAAAGTAATTTTCCTATTAAAGTCAGTTAAATCTCGTATTTTTCGCATCTTGTTATTCTTTTTTATTATCCCAGTGTCTATCTATATACACAGTTTATTTTTAAAACAGAATAAGTATTTTAAGAATAACGGGGAGCTTCATAAGTGATGTTTTGAAATGCAGGAGCTCTTGCATAAAGTAAAGGAAGTCGGATTACAAAGAAAAATACCGAGTTCAATCTTAAAGAGTGACTCATTGAATTTGATTTGCATACATTATTCTTCCTGAATACATCCTCTGCAACCAGTTCCAAGGTTTTTTAGCTTAATTACAAAGGTACCGTAAGACTTGACCGTTTGCTTTGATATTGAATGTCTACATCCCCAGACCTAAAAAAACACTTTACCTATTCAGATAAATTGTGATCCAGAGGTGCGCTAGGGCGTTTTGCAGCTAATGAGAGTTTAACGAGTGAGGATGCGCCAAACCACTGCACTCAAACCTAGACCTAAAATTTATAGTGGGATCCGAACCACTTCTTGCTGAAATTTCTGCCTGTATCCTACAAAGGAAGGCTGTGAGCCTTATTTCCAGTAGACATGATTCGAAAAAGGACAAGTGATAAATTTCTCATACCCAGTCTCAAACCTATGATAGCTGTGTCGGTATTGCAATAATTAGGACCGAATTACTAAACCATTCCGCTATCGAGCCACTTCAGCTCACACTCCACAGACCTAAATCGTCCTAATTTTCAATATTGCAAGAAACTTACGAATAAGCCGCAAACGAGTTATAGCTTAAACAGAAATTCACATTTGAATGACTTAAAATGATTTTGTTGTTATTATTTTCCTTACCGTTTATGATTTATTCATGCGTTATTTTTACAAAACATGATCTTCATAAGTCACGAGAAAACTGAAGTTTTCTTCTTCCTTTTGAATGCTTTTAAAGTTCGATAAACTAGAAAAACATTATTTTTAGTGTCGACGTAAAAATATCATAAAGAACATGTGAATTTATAATGCTATAATTGGGTAATAGTAACTTACTATATGTATAGTTCTCGAAAAGTTTGTGGGATGTGTTTTCCATATTTGGCTTGATTGATAAATTCATTCAAGCTGTCAGTTTAGGTTTCTTATTTTAATGATGCAGATGAGTCACTTTTTATGCCAACACAACTTTAAGAACCAATTAAAAAATCAAATAATCAAAAAACTAAGCATCTAGAAATCATAAGTAAGGAGAAATTTTAAGGTAGCTATTTATTTGGAAGCGTCTCGACCTAAAGCAAGTTTCGTTCATAAATTACACATCTCCCTCAATTCGTTCATTTTGAGGTCCATAACCGATGTCTTGATCCAAATTTTTTGAAAATCCAAACTTAGATCACAAGATACTATAGATACCAACATAAAAATAGAATTCAACCCAAAAACTTTCTGCGACACAAACATCATCATAACATGAAATTCAGGCTTGCCTTCCAGAAACCAATCTCATCCTAGTATAATTTCATTCCGTAAGACTAGATTTAATGTATATTAATCTCACTAAACGTTTTGGTTGACATCATTTCAAATTTAAATTGCAGACACGTGATAATACAGAAAAGATAAAAGACAATTTGATATTTAAAAGAAATAACTTCAGGCGCGATATTAAATTTTCTTTTTTTGCGACATTCCAGAATGTTGCATGAATTTAACAAGGAAATTTATCTGAGATTGAATGTGTATGGCATGAAGCTTTGTGTTTTGTTTATTTACATGCTAAATTATATTTTCTTTTCAAAATTATAAAAAATGGATAATTCGAGTGAGATTGCAAAAAGGTAGACATTTATATGCGATCTGATTATAATTTAATATGGAAATTTATAAAAGTGAGGTTAAGTGTCTCGTTTGGTGCTTAGCTCATTAAAACGCGATATTTAACGCAACAAATTGAATAGCGCTACAGCAATCAAAGTTTTTATACTTTAAAGAGCAAAGCAGACATGTAAACAGTCATATGGCTTTGATATACCGAACTAAAACTCATTTAACCTCTAACAGGATCTATGAACAGAACATCAGTCGTAGCAATGATTCTTCGCAATCTAAAATGCAAGCGGTTTTCATATCAAATAGCCGAGAATTTTCTTCCAGCATGTGACTTTTTGAGAGCTTTTTCGTGCATCATTCTTGAATTTTTAAATGTTAATTAAATTACATCCTCATCGTAATTGATGTCTGTTCTAAAAATTTAAGATTTAATTACGTGACAGAAGGTACACGACATCACGTAGAGAGCAATTATTTCTTAGTACTAATGCCTTACGGTTTAAAATGTTTAATTAATGATCTCCTTCTACGAACCGCATTTTTTTATAAATAACAAAATTAGCTTCTTCGAAATTTAATTGAAATATTCTTAATCAACCCACACAAAACTTGAACTGCCGCAATGAAATCATTTAAAATTCAAGTGCTGTATCTTTGAGGTATTTTAAATTGCAATTAAATTCACACTCCATATTATGTTTAAGTATGTGCAAATGGAATGCTTAATGGACTTTGCATTTCTATTGCAGCACTTTCACACAAAAAAAGTAATATTGAATATGGAACAATGCAGCATGAACTAATGGAAAAGCACTCGACAATAATGTTTGAAAATATGAATTTCCGCTTCTATTACTACATACTTAATGCATGCCAATCTTATGCTCACTCAATCAAATGAAAAATCAATAGCACTGCTCTATAAAGTATCTACAAGCGCATTTATGTTCATTTTCACTTTCAATTTTTTCTTCCTTTTTCATCAACTTCTATTTTCTGTGAATGAATTTTTCTCCAATTTCTCGTTCATCGAAGCAAAAATAACATTTATTTCAAGTTAAATGAAGAAGAAAAGTTTGTATACTTCAACATATCATTCAAGTGTATGGAGTCGTCCATTTATGATGTCCAAAAATTGGGTTATGTAGCAGACCAGTGCATTTAAATATAAACATTTTTATCATTAAGAGTTGAGTGGGCTCAAAAATCAAAATAATTCCCAAACCTCATTTACGACCAACCCCTCAAACAGAATTCGGGTGTTGAACGATACAAGGAAAAAGAGTATCAATGCAGTTAATATGGTTTGCTTCCTATTCCGAAATTATTTACTTTTGATGTTTTTCCGATGTACGAAAAAATATTTTTGGCTTTTATCGAAAAATTAATTTCCTCATTTTCTATCTGAGAATCTAAAGTAAAGCTATTCGAGAAATTTTCCATAACCTCAGGAGATATTTTAAAAGCTGTTTTGCTTTTCTGTGTGGTACTTTTGCTTTTCTACATCCTACACTTTTTGACTGAAAAGTTTGAATTGCTGTATTGAATCATTTAAGATTTTTTAATGCTTATTATCGACAAATGAGAACCCTTTCATTGATTAAGTTGTTAATGTAGAAGTTTTTTAGTGATTAAGGCGCATTATTGGAAGCAAGTTTGTATATAAATTGTTAAAAAATGTCCAAAGTTCAGTTTCGAACAACCTTTTACAGACGAAATCTTCGAGAATATTTAAGAACAAGAAAATATCTAGCTTAGATCCATTTGCTTTAAATGATAATACGTTCAATACAAGTAAAGGATCAAGTCTATGCAATGCACCAATTTTCATAATCAAAGAAACTTCCCAAGATAATAAAACTCTTTAAAATTTCCTTATTGATTTATAGAAATAGCATTTAAATGTCTTCATTTCTCATGTCTATATCCAAAGTACAATGATTTTAGTTAAACAAATTGGAAAGTAGTTCTCCCAAAGCACTGCTAAAATAAATTCAGACGAAATCAAACAACGTGTTGAATTTATGAAAAGAAAAATCCACTCAGAAAATTGGAAAGAAACGAATTTTTTTCTTCTTTTGATTACTTACGATACACAAAAAAAAATAAGGAATAAGGAATTAACAATAAACTCAACTTAATAAAACGACAAAAGGAAACGATATTGCTGATCTGTATCAAAAATGTAATTGGGATTTTCCAATTGTGCGATGAAATTTGTTCTCGCTATAAAATTCCAATTCAATTTCTCCTTCCTATTGCGTCACTCGTGTAATTTCATTAAAATCTCTAATCTCACTTTAATTGTATTTAATACATTTTGATTTAAATTTCTCGACTTTTTCCTTTCGTACTTCCTTCTTTTATTATTTTAGACAGTGTTGTACATTTTGGAGTTAAACTACGTTCGGTTATTTGTGCAATGTAATAAAATAATCTAGATGATAGTATATCCTAGTGTACATAGCAAAGGAGACAAGTTATGTTCCGAAGACCTCAAGAACATGAGCCGAAGACATGAACCGAGCTTGGTAACTAGAACGGTGAAATGGAAAAAGAGCTTCTTAAACTTGACTTGGCCTGGAATTGAACCAACAACTTTTGGCACTTAAGGCCAACGCTCTACCACTTAAAGACCAGAATCACTTGCTTATGATTGATATCTTTCTAAACTGCTTTTCAGGTCAAAGTCAAAAGTCGAGTCGAAAAGCAAATAAAATTCAAATTCACATAACTTTGAGGTTACCAACTCTGATTTTGTATATTTTTTATTTTCTATATTTCTATAAAGAAGCAAAATTTTATGTTTCAAAATATATAGGCATTGAAAATATTGTTATTTGTTATTATCGTAAGGAACAGAGAGAGAGTAAGAGAAAAAGGACGAAAAAAAGGTTTTTCGACAATTTCTTTCTTCCTTTGTCTATAATGAAAGGATTAGAGTTAGTAAAAGGGAATGATTTATTTTTGATATGGGTAAATTGGTGCGATAATTCTAGGCGGAAGGGTAGTTACATTACAGGAAAGAAAATATGATTTTGAACTATAAAGTTTCATTATAAATGTTAATCAAATGAAAAATGAATGAAGCTAATTTTCATCATCATTAAATACTG